CTGAGCTTAATGTGCACTCCTTTACCCACCTCTTTGCCACCTTCATCATCATCCTCTCTTTGGTCATCCTAATGATGTAATTTGTATGACCATAGAAGAGCACACAAAAAGAGCAGAAAAACAATGGAAAAGTGCAAGAAGAGAAAAAAAGAAAAGAATTTTTCATTTCTTTTCCAACCTTGATCAACTAATGATTTATCCTCAGTTGAATTCACCTTGAAACTTACCTAACCTTTAACCTTCACTGAACAATTTATTTCAATATTTGAATGACAAAAGTAACATCTAAAGCAATACTCAATTGATAACCTTTTAAGACGCAAAAAGAGAAATGAAACATTCTTGAAAATGTTTCATCTCCATCATCTCTCTTGATCGTCATCTTCATCTTCTTAATCGATTATGAAACAGTAAGCCAATCCTCTGTTGGATACACACGTTCATAAGGTGAATCCTTGCTGAGCATTGAAGAGTCAGGGAAAGAAGGAGAAGAAGCAAAGGCAGGTAAAAAAAGGAAAGGTGAAGCTGAAAGAAATTCTTGAAAGATAAAAATGAGTAAAGATAAGTTGAAGAAAGAAAGAAGAAGAAGAAGAAAAAAGGTAAAAAAATTTACCTGCAGGGCCAACTTACTTTACATATACACCATCAGCATCACCTTTATCATCATCATCATCATTATCATCATCAACTTTTCTTATTTTCTTATATTTATTAGCTTCTTTTCAATATAAACTGTAATCGCTATTTAAGTTGATATTTTATTTTTATTCACTGGAAAAATGTTTCGCTTGCACAAAAATTTCATTTCAAACATTTTCTCATCTTCTTTCCATTCTAAATCAGTCTTAGAAGACTGATCATCTTGACATTGAATATTAATTGTTTTCACCTTTTTTTCCTCTTCTTCTGCTTCTGATCCATTTAACTGAACCAACTCAAGTCTCAAGTTCAATGCGAAAAGGGTTTACCAGGTTGTTTATGATTCTCACCTTTTTCCATGTTTACCTTTTTTAAATTGTTCATTTTCTACATTCTGTAAAATTCTCACCTTTTTCTTGTTCAATCCTTTTCCACCATTTTACCATGTTAATCACGAGTACTTTATCATTATTATCATCTTTATCATAATCATCAGCTGTAGACAGATTTTTGTTACCACTGAAGAGGCGAAAAAACGAAAGAAGAAAAAAAACACTAAATATATTAACTTCTGGATAATCATGATAATCTTCTTTGTAATCATTCTGTTGAGCCTTTCTGAGCATCAACAATATCAACTTATATCAGTAAAGCGTCAACAGTCAAAGTGACATCAAAGAAATGTAAAAAGCAAATGAACAGCAAAAATGTGTTTCAATTTGCAACTTATTATCCAATTGCAAGCGAGATTAACTTGAATTATTAGCATTGTAACCCTTTTCCAGTTGATTGTTTTCTCAATGAAAAAAGGCAAAATTTGGAAATTTTCATGTAAATCGAAAACTTGCAATGAATCTTGAGAAATGCAAATTGAAATGGAACCACAAAGGTTGATGAAAACCATGGTTATTGCCATAGTTACAGTTTTGTACTTGATATGAATAACAATATCTATTGATGAATGAGTTTAGCGATTTTTCTTGTTCTTCTTTTACTTTTTTTCATGATAAAAATAATAGAAATGAATTTACTTTTACTTCTTTTTTTGCTGCTCTTCTCTCATCATTTACTCGCTCATCTTGTTTTACCATCTTTTGCATCCTCGTCTCATAGGGAAATTAATTAGTCCAAAATGGCAACTAATCTTCTTATAGTAAGCCATTGGTTCTATTCAATAAAATGTACGCAAAGTGAGAGATGATTATGATGATGATGATGCTGTATGCATGAACCCATGGATGATGACGGACTACTGAATAGATGAACAAATGATGTTGGTTGTTGCTTCCAATCAACTGGATCAATGTGTGTAAACCTGTATAATAGGGAAGATACGGACAGAACACACTCTTCAGATTATCATTTTTTCATCTTCTTTTTCTTCTTCTTTTCCAATTTGCTCACTCATTAATAGGGAAGAAATGATGAAAATCATTTATCTACATCTCAATCCATTTCATTTGCCATTCACCTTTAGCTTTCCCTTTCCATTTACTCCTTTCACCTAATCTTTTGTCATCTCCATCATTATCATATTTATTATTCATTACATTTTTCAAATGAATTTAATCATTTTGATACTTTTCCATAAACCACAAAAATGTCATCTAATTAGCATTCATTGAGACATTTTTATGTTTTCATTAATTTTTCATTAACTTTACTTTTATGTCTCTTTTTTTGTCATCAATTTTGCTCTTTTAGTTTTCCTCATTTTCACCCAAAATTGCTTTGCTTTTGTTTTTTTCTTTCGATGTTTCTTTTTTTCCATTATTTTTAATGATCCAAACTGAATGATTATCATGATGGACTTATAGGTTTATTTGCTTCCATTGATTGTCCCTTTTCCTAGTCGACTATTTACTTTGATATAATGATGATGAGAGGATGAAAAGTGTTGTCTGTCTTGATTGTTACACAATTAGATGGATGATGATGATGAAAAGTGAATGAATAAGGGAACGAGTAAAGAGTAACCTGAAGTGATGAAGATAAACAAGTAAATGTAATATGAGAAAAGATCGGAAGTAATTTTTCAATATCAAACAAGAAAGTAAAGTGATGATGATGAACAGATGAGAAAAAAAGGAGCAAAAGGAAGAGATGCTTTCTATAATCATTTTATGAGTGAAGATGAAAAGAGGAAGATGAAGGGAAAAAAAGATGAACCAAAAATATGATGAAAAGTTACTTTTTGCTTCAATATTATATAAAAAAGTGAAAATAAATTGAATGAGAAGAGCAAAAATTGTAACGAGTAACAAGCTCAATGATAGTTAATGTGTTTCAATATTGATGCCATTATTCATCTTCATCATCTTCATCATTTTTATTATTAATATTAATGTAATCATTATGCTCATTACATGTTTAATTTTGTTGAGTTTTGCCAAAAAATCTTTTTCCAAAGTAAATTGTTTCTTTTCAAATCAAACAATCGATGTTTTTACCAAATAATCGGTTCCAAAACTCAATCTTTACAGTTCAAGTTTTATGAAGTATTTTGTTTTGTTTTTCAGTAACAGTTGAATCGATTCTCAAAGATTACAAATGTTTGAAGCCAAATATTGAATGAACTCAAATACAAATGTTGAGTCAATCAATACTTTCTAGTTGACTTTTATTCAACTCTAAGTGATTAGTTTTAGAGGCAAATCAAACAGTTAGTTGAAGCTCATTATTGCAACCATCAAGAAATTGAAGGTAAATTGAAAAAAGCAAATTGTCTTTTCAGTAAATCACAATCAATTATTCTTACATTGTCTGTCATTTGCAAAGTAAACTTGAAAGGTTTCTCAACTTTTCTACTACTTTTCATGACAATTTCTCAGCAGCTTGAATACTTATTTTGAACTTTTGAATCTCACATTTGCATTGAACATGAAAAAATTTTCCCAACTTTTTTACTCTTCCATAGTTTTGGTGCAAAAATTTGATCCAGTAAATTGTTTCATTTACTTTTGTTTCTCTATTCATATGCAAAATAGTTTGAAACTTTGAGTTATCGATTAACTAGTGATTTATCATCTTCATCAATCAGATTTTTTTGTTGCATTTTCTTGTTTAAATGCAAAAGCAAAGTCAAACTTTGTGCAGTTTTTTTGAGGCTTGAACAAAGTTTTTCATTTTGATGAAATCAATTAGTCACTAAAGCAACCAAATTAACGTCTAATCAAATTATTTGGTTCAATCAGCTTTGTCTTCTTGTAACCAAAATAACTTGATGAAACTATCTTTCACTTGGAATCAGATTTGAGTCGAATCTTTGAACCTGTAAAGTTGTAACGTTCAACTGCGCAACTTTACAATGAACCGGAAAAAGGTCGTCAACAATGAGAAGCAAATTTCATCCTCAAATCACTTTCACACAAATCATTGCAGGTAAATTTAGTCTGACACAAGTCTTGATGTATCAACCTGATATTGATTAAAAATCATTTTCAGACTAATCGTTTCTCGGTATTAAACTGTTTCATTTTTTGCTTCCATCTTAATCCGTTTCCATTTCAAGTGAGATGAAAAAATCCCTGTAAGTTGTTAAAGAAAACATGACAAATGCAATGTACAATGAAACAGCAATGAAAAGAAGAAGAAGAAATGATGATAACGATGATGATGATAAAGAAGGAAAGATTGAGTAACAAACAAGCAAGAAAAACCTTGAAGTTAAGGTTGTTTGAAAATGACTTGAAATGCTTATTCCAAGGCTGAGTTTGCATCTTCGCCTGAAAGTTCAACCAGCAAAAAACAAGCATTTCAATTGAAATTGCAGTAAAGAAGAAAAAAGAAAATTTATTTGAGTAAAAGTGTGAAAAATGCTGTTGAATATATTGCAACAAGGAGGAGAATAAGATGAACATTGATTATCATTGGACAAAATTTTACCTTTTTTCATGTACTTTTTTTTCTTACCTTGCAATGGCACAAAGCACAGATAAAAAAAAACAAGGTTGGCTAAAGATGTTAAATGCATTTGGTAAAAGAAAAGAAGAAGAAGAAAAAAAATGAAGGAAAAAACGAAATAAACATTTTTATTTGCTCCTTTTACTTCATCATGCTTGTTCAGTCTGCAAGATGATGATGTTGAATATAGACCTTTGCAGAGATGCGCTTTCCTAGCGCTTCTTGTTGACCCAACAAAGATGATCAAAGTGTGGTTCATAGTGAATTGATTTATGATGTTCATCTTCTTCTTTACCTTTTTCACCTTCGTCTTCTTGTTCCATGGCTCTTTTTTTTGGCTGCTCCACTAATCCTCTTGGTAATTTTTTGCTTCTCTCTGTATACTGTGTTTTGCCCAATTTGATTTGGTTAAATGGTCAAATTAAATTAATTGTCATTAAATTTGATTACCTTCACAGGGAAGCTGAGGATCAAATGGTAATGAAGGAAACCCAAGGGCCTCTTAACTTCACCGCATCTGAAAAAAACTGCATCATTTCTTGAAGATGGAAGAGAGAGAAAGAGAGAAAAGGTAAAAATGTTATGAAGATGATTAAAGATGAAGATGAAGAAGAAGAAAAAGAAGAAAAAGAAACAAAGAGAGAGAGAGAAGCTGAAACAAGGCACACCCAATCAATAACAAGTCGTCATGAAAGGAATCATAATTAGGCTCAATAAAGTTCACCATTAATACACATTAGTTAATGGAGGGTCATCATCATCATAATCAACATCATCAACATCATCAACTTGGTCAAAGTCATCAACAAGCTGAGCAGGTAAAGATCAATTGGAAAAAAAGGAAAGAAAAGAAAAGAAGATTTTCATGGAATTTGGAATTTCTTTTTTCCTTCAACTTGGAATGCAACAACACCTGAACATGTTTTAACCCATTTTGGTTGAGCATTTTATTCATTACATAAAGATGCCAATGAAGATGGGAAAAGATGCAAATTTTTGTAAACATTGGGTGAAGTTTAACTTGTTTGCTTTAGTGAAATTGAGTGAAACTGATAAAAGGCCTTCAAGCTGAAAACGATTGTCACCTTATTATAAGTGAATGGCTTTCAGACTCATATCATCATCATTATTATTATTGGACTACCGTGAAAATTGTTAAAGTAAACAGAGTTTTTCGATTCTCTTTTTTTCTTTTCTCTTGTTCTTGCTCCTGTTAACTGTATTCAGTGTATAATATACAACAATCACTGAACAATCAGTGAACACAAGCAAAGTATTAGTTAAAAAAAGCATTACTTTCAATTCCCACGAGATGCTATTTTCCTTCTTCTTCTTCTTCTTCTTTTTTGGCCTTTCGCCTTCGCCTTTGCCTTTTCGAACTCGTTAAAATGTAATTTCATAATTGAATATGTGGTCCTGCTTTTTGTGTCTCTTTTGCTGTACATTTGCTCTTTCTGTCTGTCTTTCTTTTCTCTTCATGTATGCATGTGTATTTTTTGTTTCTTGCTCCTCTTGTTGTCGTTGTGTTTCCAATGTCAAACCAAAAATATCTCACATGTCAGCTTAGTGGAACTGCACAGATAAACAAACAAAAATAAATATATTTGTTTGTCAATGATAAAAATGTTCATGTTACAGGTTCAAAGTAAACGTCTCTATTGTTACCTTTACTCTATCCAGGTTTTAGACCAATTATTTGAAGACGACACACACATTGGATAATCAACTTTGTGCCTTTGTCCTTGTTAATCAAATACAATGCCGATGAATCGTAATTTATGTCACTCTGCATTTCGAATAGCATTTAACATTTTTCCAAAGTCTAACACATTTATTCCCAACTGTTTTCATTCCAACCACACGTTATTTGAAGCATAAAATAAACGTTAAAACAACAGTATTAACCAATGATTAAAATATACCAAGAAAAACGTGAATTGAACTTATTTACAATAGCGATTATGGAAACTTTGGTTCTAACCATATTTTCACTTCGAGATTATTCATAGAAAAAAATGATTCAATGAAATTTCTTCTGAATCACGAGTAAAAATAAAGATAAAATTCAGTTGAAACAATTTTTGTTTATCAATTTTATTGGTCCTAATAGATCGTTCCGATTCTACGAAAAGTTTCATTTACAAAATGTTTTACAAAATGTTTTGTTTCTATCATTTTGCTACAAGTTGAACTTGAAGCAATTAGTCACAATGGTATCTGATGACTAGACTTGATTGAGAAAGATTGACTCGATCGAGTCACTTAACATGACAATTAGTTGAAACATTTTGCAAGTGATAAGATAATTGTTGCTCTTGGCTCAAAGTAAACTCGTGAAAATTGTGACTAAAGTTTCAGCCGATCCATTAGTGATCAACAGTTTGAACGATTAAATCATTAAAATAAACTTAATCAATATTTTTGATCTGAAATCAGGTGAGGCTATCCGAGACTCTCAATGAGTCGTATTTGCTCATCAATTGTCCATTTGTTTTTATTTTCATCACATTGTGATCTTTCCCTTTTCTCAGTCAATACATTTCAATTGAAATTTAATCCAAACCGGTGACCTAAGTTTGAAGTTGTTCCTTCCGTTTTGATCACATGTACAAGAGGAACCAGACTTTTGTTTTGCGTCAGTTTTTGTTGTTACTTTCAAAGTTTACATTCACAGTGTAACTCATGTTTCAATGAGTTTCTCTCATCTTCTTATTGAGCTTCTTACAATTCTCTCACCATGAAGATAATTGATTTTTACAATTTTTTCATTCTCATCGTTTACTAAGGAAGCGAAATATGATAACTTTTCCAGTTTGACAAATTCATTTTTAGATGTTCATCATTGAATGAATGTAAAAGGTTGAAAAATGGACCAAAAAAACAATCTATTAATCAGAATGAGGTTGATAGCCTGATGAGGTGAAAAGGTAATTTGAATTAAAAGTTGAATAATGAAATGGAAAACATTGACTTCTCTGTTTTAAAGGTGTAAACTGGCAGAATTGGTTTGAAAAGAAATTGAAGGAAAAGAAAAACATTTGAAAAGGTATTACATGATGCTAAATGAAAATCCGTTTTCATTGTTACATCAATTGAATAAGGTAAAAACAATAGATTTGTGTGGATGTATGTTGACTGATTGAGATTACGAGAACTTAATTAACGGATTTAATTGCTTCTCTAATTTATTTTCATCGTCATTCTTCATCACCATCAACCTTATCCAGCCTCTTACCGCATTCACATTCAGTATTTATATCAACACAGCATGAGGTCTAAATAGCAGTTGAAATGATCAACAAGGTAACACAAGAAGAAGAAGAAGAAGAAATTATCAAAAGAAGAAGAAAAAGAAATGAAAATCTATAAGAAAATGGTGTGTTCGATTGAAGAAAGGTTCGTGTAAATGATAATATTGATGATGATGGAGTTCATGATGAAGTCCATGATGAAGTCCATCAAATAAAAAAGAACAGCAAGATTGTTGTAAATGTTGATTCTTCATTTGTTCATCCATCAACAAACAACTAGTTTACTGTCAATCTTAACTAACGTTACTTAACATGGATTTTTGCAACTGAATATCTTTTCATCCTCATCATCTTTATCATCATCTTTCTCTCTCAATCTCTCTCTCTCTCTCTGTAAATCACTTTTGTTATTTTTTCAGGTTTCATTGAGTTTCAAGTTAAGGTTTTAAGTTTCAAAACAAGTTAACACTGAAACGTTAGTTAACTTAATTGCTAAAGGTGAATAAAATAAATGATGATGGAAACGAGCTAATCATTCATTTTGTTGTTGATATTTTTCTTGACCATCTCTTCATCATTACATTTTATCATCAATTGCTCTTCATCTTCTTTCTTCCTACCTTTTCTTTCCCTTACTTCAACATTTACCTTTTTCATTGTTTTTATTTCTCATCATTTGTAATAACAATTAAACAATTCAATTTACAGATTAATTGCACTGTTAAATTGTCCTTTTCGCGTTGAAACCGTTTCTTTTGTACTTTACCCAAAATCTTGACCTTTGTTAAATAGTTTAATTAAATGTTTTACAACTGACATCAAATGGCTCAAAATGATTAATCAAATGTTGACTGTGATATCCAGAAGCACGCAAACCTTTTTTTGAAAAAAAGGCATAAATCAACTGTTTAAAACAATCAATACTCAGGTTGAAATAATTATTGAATGAAAACAAAAGACAGATTGCGTGATTAGATGAAAATAAATAAGAAAAAGTAATCAAGTTAAAGACTGAAAAAAAAGTTGAAAAGGTTTCGGGTGTTCATGGGAAAATGGACATTGGTTCTTGACCATAAATTCAAGGATTGAAGCAAGTGTTTTGATAAGGGGCAATGTGTATTTAAAATGGATAAAATTGATGAGAATCAGCAAGATGCTGAATGTGTTGATAAGTGAGTGTGAATAATGAGTTTCATATTTATTATGATATTATCACTTGATACATGTTGAAAGTAGCGAAATGAAAAATGATGAAAAGGAAGAAGAAGATGAAGCAAAAAAATGATGAAGATAATGATGATACTGATGGAGGTAAAATGATATGGAAATACTCACAATGTTTTAAAGTGTCCAAGTTGACAGGAACAATGTTGACAAGAAGAAGAAAAGTGGAAAAATAGAGTTTGTTCTGATGCCTTAAGGGTAAGGTTCATCTTTCACCTACACATTGTTACATCCACGCTTCTAGTTTAATCAAGTTTTTGGCTACCTTTATCATCATGAGCAGCTTCATCAAGTTGCGTCTGTTCATGAAGGTGGAGTTAATGCATGATGAAAGAGAGTCGCACGCGCCTTCATCAATAGTCAAAGGAATCACACACTTAACCCTGAACAAGTAGTTAAATTTGATGCGCAAAGGCATCACCTTTCAGCATCAACTTGTACCATTGAACCAGCCTCAATAACAATGAAGGTTGAACAAGCAAAAAACATTTTTTACATTTTCATTATTTATTTTGTTCACTTTGCTTTCCATCAAAAATTGTTTTCAAATGAAAATACAAGAAAAAAGGGAAAAAATAAAAGCAAATAAGTTCAGAGTAAAGCTCAAATTACATTCATTTTTGGTGCTACGCAAACGCTCATTTCTTCCTCTTCTTTGTTTCATCTTTTCTCATCTTCTCTCATCTTTACATCATCTCTATAAATCCTATTTTAAGGGTCACCATTAATAGAGTTTATGTTTCTATTTTTTCTCCTTCTTCTTCTTCACCATTCTTTACCATCCTCATCAATGGATAGCATGTAAACATTTATCATCTTTTTTCCAACTTACCTTTTCTCAATCAAATAATAACTTGTAATCAAGAAACATTGTCTGAAAAAAAGACTTTCTATTCTCATTCAATTGTTTATCACATTGTTTCAGATTATTGAACAATAATCATATTTACTCCTTGATATTGTTTACCTTTTCATTCAATTTATCCTTTTGACCATTTTAATTTTTCTTTCATTCCTAAATCATTGTTCAAGTGAATATTGAATCAGTTGAAATGTTCATTTTTACAGGAAAAAATAAATTTCCTTTTCACTATTAGAGACAATTTATTAATATCATTAGTTGGCAATGGTTGAAATGAATAAACTAATAGAGTTAAATGAGTGAAAAGTGTCATTTGATTTGATGTTGAAAGGTAAATATTGTTTCACAAAAGGACATTCATGATGATAATGATGATGAAAATGATACTGATGTGGATGGGAAGATGAGGATGGGTAGAACAAGGAAAGTACAGTGAATGTCAATTTGGGTTTGGATTGATTTCGATTGAGCTTAGGCCAATATTTACTCCAATTACGAAGTCCTTTTATAAGGCGCTATCAATGGTAAACCGTATCATGTATTTATTAGATTATTCAAGTTGAAAAGTTGTGTCAACAAAAAAAGACAGAGAGAGAAGAGGAAGAAAAGATGAGGATAAATTTCATCTCGGTGAGTGTAAATTTGTGATTGTGTAAAAAAGGCAATCATGATTCAAGAGAATGGCCATTTTTTCAAATGTTTACCCAACATCACTTTGATTAGTTAACATCATCTAATGAAATTATCCATGAATCAATCTTCACTGACTTCAAACCAAAATCACAATCCATTAAATCAGAATCAAAATTGGGGTTCGATCAAAAAAATTGAAAATTTTGCTTTTCGTTTGAAAATTCAATTTCACTCAACATTCCGCTCGACAAAAGCAAGAATCGAATGTCAATTTCAAAGGTTATTTTGATCGTTGGAGCTCGGAATTTTCAGCAACCTTGGAAATTTTGAATTGAATTTTTTCCTCTTCTAAATTCATCTGAAATGTCATGTAATTTTCATAAACATCATTTTCATGATTCTTTTTTTTCTCTCTAAATTTGCATTCTCTTCTTGCTTCCAACTGTTATTATTCTCACTCCTTTTCTCTTCACCTTTACTGGATGATGATGATGAATGAGAAGAATGATGTTGATGATGACAAATGGTAAGCTTTAGATGTGTATGTTAATAATGATAAATATCAGTGACAATTTGAATAACAATGTATCCCTTCAAATATCAAACCTTATCATTAGGTTCATCAAGGAAATAACAATAAGCAAGAGAATCAGAACAATCAAGTAACAATCTTGTTTACTTGTTAACATTTATCGTTAAATGTGTATTTATATTGTTCGGGGTAAAATGAGAAGAGTTTGTTCGTCGTCGGGCTTTTTCTTCTTCCTTCGCCTTGTTGGCCCTTGTTTCGCCTTTGCCTGATAAATCATGTTAACAGTTGAGGATGAAGAGGAGGAGAAGGATGATTATGATGATGGAAATAAGATGAGGAGGAGTGAAAAAAGGGATGAAAATTGAAAAGGTAAATGATATAGTGAAATGTTGAATGGAAAGGGAAATGGAGAAGAGAATGGAAAGCGAAAAATATGATAAAGAAAACATTGATTTTACTTGTTATCCCGATATTGACAATTGACTCAAATAATGGACACTTTTATTTTCACATTTAATCATATTTTATTCGTAATCATGTTCATCAACTATTGACCCTGGGTCAGAATTGGTTTTTATTTAATTTTTAGATTATTTTCTTTTTCCTTTTTTTGAAACATTTGTAATTGTAACAATAAATTGATTAAAAATTTAATTTCACTTTCATTTTTGGTCATTTCTTTGAAAATGGCGCTTCTTGCCCTATCAACTTTCATAGGAACCTTTTCCCTCCATTATATCATCTGATTATCGTCTGCTGTTGACTGTTTATTTATGGTTTTGTTTCAATTTATTAATTTCGTGTTAATTATAATTTTAATTAATTCACCTTCAAGTCTATATTTAGTTGAGACTTTCTCGATGTCTATTTGATAATTGGTCTTGTTAACTTTAATTCAAATGTTGTGTTTACGGTATGTATAAGCTTTATGTTTTCGGTTTGTTTAATTGATTCTATTCTTATGTTATACTAATCAGTTGTTTCGTTTATTTTATGTTTTTTTTGTCTCTCTCTCTCTCTTTTGCTCCTACCCTCAATTGAATTGTTATAACATTTGCCAATCAAAATGGAAGTATCAAGTTCCGAGTAAAAGTTTAATCTCCTCATCATGGGAATAAAGGGAAGAATTGGAACATTTTTAAGAGTAAATGAAGATGAACCAGGAAAGCAAAAGGTTCTTCTTCTTTTTTCTGGTTGAAAAGGAATCATTTTTCTCATCAGAAAAGTGGAAGAAAAGCAACAGGATAGAGGATGATAAAGAGGAGGAGGAGGAGGAGAAGGAGGATAAAGATTGAATCAAGAAAATGGGTGAGTATGAGTGTGTTTTTTTTGAGGTATAGGATCAATGACAGGAAAAAAGAAAAGGATACAGATGAAGAGAAAGGAGAGACTCTAAGATGGAGATAATATTATACAAGAAAAGATGGAGGAGACACGTAAAGAGATGAAAACCACATTGAAGATGATGACAGTTAAATCGGTTTAAGAAAAATATTTATCTCTTAATTCTCAGCGTTACTTAAGGACACAACCATAATCACAATTAACATTATATTGTCTTTTAAATGGTCAACTAGCATATTCCTTTTGGTTGCTGTTCATGATTTTCATTTCATCTTTAATTTCTCATTCTCATCTTAAAGTGATTCCAATTCATTCCAAATTTTCAGTCCATTAGCCAGTTTCGTGGTGGATCAATTTTTCAAGATTAGCTTTCCCTCAGGCTGATGGTTAATTCAATTCCTGGGATAAACAAAAAGTTTAAGAGTCGATTTTCTTTGAGAAAAGAGTTAATTATTGTTTCTCCCTTTCACAACAATTTGTTGGCTTTTTTACGTTTTTGTCTTCTCAACCTTTAAGCCAGATTAAGATAATCCAGTCTTTGGAATGGAAAATTTTTTTGAATCCATCAACGATAGTGAATTCACATGCTAACCATCCATTCAAATATATTGAAAGGTTCTTGGAAAAACTCCTGACAGTCACAAGAATTTACTCTCACCGAAAACGAATCCTGGTTCCTTCCGTTGAGCTTGATTTTCAAAAATTGGTTTCCCTGACAGTTAGTTTGAATTTAAAATTCAACTGTGTATCGTTATTTGTTTTCACTTTTCAGGATCATTGTTAAATCGAAGTTTATTTTAGATTAGACAATTAAGTAGCTGTTAATCAGTGGTTTTCAATGTTACTTTAAACCTGCTTATGATTGTGTTAATATGTATTTAATCACTTTAATATTACATTGTGGGTTTTAACTTCTTTTAAGCTAAGTCTTTGGCTTTTCTTCGCTTCTTATATCCTTATTATTATTTTTATTATTATTATATTAAATCACATTGATATTATTACGCCAGATGAATATCAGAAGCTGCAAAGAGAGCCAAAGAAAGAGCTTAACAATATTAACCTGTGAAATCCTCTCTAATACTTTATCAACTTGACTTCAATTATTATCGCCATTATCAAATGAGAACTGATTATCACAAACATATATACATAATACAGTGAAACAGTTAACAGATAGAAACAATTCAAACTTGCAAATGAAACTAAAATCAGAATCAAACATCAAAGAGAAGGTAAAAGCGAGAGGGAAAAAAATGTCATACCGAAGGTAAAAAAACTCAATTAACCTTTGAAATTGACCATAATATGAGTTAACAATGAACTATAAAATATTATCAATTGATTGTCTAACAACCCATGACTAAATATATTCATGATTATGCATATAATAGGTTATATTTAAGCAAAAGATGAAAAAAGAAGAAGAGGAGAAAAAAGTAAAATCAATTCCAACATCATTCATAAATGTATATCAATATTCAAGGAATGAGTTGATCTCATTTCACGGCCAATGGTTAATAAAACGCGAATCAGTCCCAAATAATGAACTAAAAAAAAGAGAATCAAAAATAGCGAAGAGAATAACTTATCTTGTCTTCTGCATCTTCATCTTCATCCATCTCATGTTCACTGTGTTTTACCTCAACTATTTTTGCTTGCAATTTTTAGGTTTAACAAGATTCCTACAAGAGTAAATATCATTTCCTAAAAGGTAAAAGAAAATGTTCTCTTCTTTACTCTTCTTTACCTGATTGATTGTCCTGATGTTTGCCAGGTAAGAAGCATGGCAAGCAAGTAAAAATGTTTTTCAATACCAACACTAATAATAAATGGTAATAATAATAATAAATAAATATATAAATAAAAGTCTGTCAATCACGGGCAAGGTCAAAATGCTGGTTTGCCTGCAAATTTTGAATCTTACCTGATCCATATTTGAATGCAATTGTCCCTTGAAATTGCACAATTGGGAGGGTGAAAAGATATTAAAGCCAATTATTGAATGAAACAGCAAAGGAGAACAATGAGTTTCTCAATTCTGAATGATTTGATTTTAAATCCCCTTCAAATACCCAGGATATGATGTGTGTGTGTGTGCCAATGTTGTTGGTAAATGATATGCAAAGTAAGATGAAAATGGCGAATGAAGATGAAGATGAAAAGATAAGAAGAGATCACCAGAAATGGCAAGAGAAGGTAAAAAAACTGTTGCTGAGTTTAAGTCAAAGGTAAATCTCAATATTAAAGTGAAGGTGATCACAACTAGGAATATGAATAAACCTTTGTCCGTATTGTGTGCCTGGCGCAATGCGAATACATATTGTCCTTTAAATATACTCATGAGTACGAATTGTGACAAAAATATTAATCTGAACACATTTATTATTAGATAGATTACCAATCCCTTAACATCATTTATTTTGATATTTACTTTTGCCTTTTTTTAGCACTGTATCGACCAAGTTTATATTGCTTTGCCTTTTCCTCTCAAAACTATTATGTAAACCGGAAAGTTTTAAGCTTCTCCTTGTTGAACCTTCAATAATCGTAGTAACAATTAACTGAATGAACCTAAAATCTGTTCAGTGTAACTAACAGGTAACTCGACAATTAAGATTGATCGACTCTAAATGAAGCTCATTTCAAATTTTGAGAGAAGAATCGAAATGGAAAGAATCATTTTCTGGTTCAATCTTCAAAAATTAATTCACGCTCAGCTTTTCAAGGTTCGGTGATATTAAGAAAAAAAGAGTAATTTTAGTTTTAACAAGTATTACATTTAAACAAGTTAAATGATCAAACAAAATTCTAATCAAGTGGCAATTTATGATCTGTATTGTATTAGTAGGACTAAAACTGATAAACAAATTAACCTGACTGAACTTTCAATAAAAAATTGAACTTCACTTTGTTTAATGAAAGACAATTAAAATATAAGCAAATTTAAAATGAAATATTCAAGTCCAAACGATATATGGCAATCAAATACAATTAACTAATCTGTTTAACGAGTAAAAATAGCGAGTAAGTGAAAGCGTTAATCAACCATTTAAGCTGGATAATTTAGTTCATTGAAAACAATTGATATCAAAGATCATATGAGGTTAGGTTAACTGATTCAAGCAATAACAAGCTTATGATTTGAAAAATATCAACAGAAAGCAAAAAATCATCTTGAAATGTTGGATAAATAATTTTGTAATAGAATCGATTATTAAGTCATTTACCTCCAGGTCCTGGTGTTGGAATGAAACCAGATAAAAGATCCAATGGACTGGTTAACTGTATTCTAGAAAAGTTCACATTATGGTAAAATTAGGTTCCTTTGCAACAATTTTACATAACATTCCAATTTAATATTTGAACACACTATTGAATGTCATTGATTGATTGAAAATCATAAAAGATGAGCCATTTTGAGTAAAATTGACCAGCACATGAATAAGAAACAAAAGGGTTAAGTTATCACTTTCACTTGTAAAGAAGCGTTTTATTAACAATTTTGAGTCATTTATCTGTCTCAGCAAAACTTCTTATTCAAACTGATTTTATTCATTTTATTGACAAAATATATCAACAATCAACTAGTCTAATCATCAAATGTTATATTAATAATTAGGTAAACTGTAGCCATTACATTGGATAAAAGAGAGATAGAGAGAGAGAGAGAAATAGTTTGAGAGAGATAGTGAAAGTGGGAGTGAAAGGTGAAAAAAACTCGAAGCGAAGGCTAACTTAGGTAAATTATTTTGTTGAGCTCGATGAATGAATTGCTCAAGCAAATCGTTACAATTGAAAGTGATAAAGAAACAGTCAATAGTAAAGAAAATGATTAACGAGAAAACAATGAGAGAAAATTTGAGACAAAAATGTGAAGACGAAGCTTAAGGAAGTCAATTCAATGAATTTACCCTTTTATTATTACCATCTTTTTAATAGCTTGATTAAAGGTTGATCAAGTTTCAAGTGCGAGTGTAAAAAGTGTGAAAATTGTTTACCAAAGAAAAAATTTGACGGAAAAGTTTGAAAAAGTCTTAAATTGAAATATTTTGAAACTGAATTGAAAGTCAATTTCAGATCATTGGGTGTTAGAGATAAGCTTTTTGGTTACTCAGAATGATGACTGTGACCACCTTTTTATCTCAGTTTAAAGTCATTGTTTGATTTTACATTTGGTACACTTTCTATTTGGTTAATCTGGTTACTCATGAAACTTAATTAGTTGAAATGAAGTTTGCTTAAGGACTTTTACTTTCCTCGCTTTCCTAAGCTTCCCTTTTTGGAACCTTTTGGTCAACGCGAAGAGAAACTTCCATTGCTGAAAACAAAAAAAGCTGACCTTACCAGACCACTTAAACCTCTTATTTTTGCACTAAAACTGCCAAAATCACCCGACTTAGTGAAAGGTTTAAAAGCACGCACCTGAGTTAGTCAATTTCGAACTATTTAATTATCTCAAATTTATCGCACTCACCCAATGACAGTCCATCGACTGGACAATAAACAAAGCAACACTTTCTCCAAACCCAGACTAATTGCAAATGAAAATTTTCAATTTTCACCAAGATTCATAATCTTCAGCCAATTATTGAAGAATCTAGAAAAGTTGTAAATGCAAATTTCCCTTCAATTTTCAAAATTGCTTTTCTTCACGAAAATTCATGAAACCAATTCTCGCTCTATACACATTTCCCTGTTCACTGATTCAGACTTGAAGTCCAAAAGAAATGCCAAAACTTATTTTGCTTTCATTTTCAATTCAGAATTCAAAATTATCAGAAAGATAGGTTTGAAGCAATTCATTGAGAAGTGATGAAAAGTGGACTTTTAACTCCTGATTCTGAAACTGTAATTTATGCTGTCAATATTGCTTGTTTAAATGTTAAATTGTGTTATGAATCTGAACACTTGAGATGAATGATTGAAGTTAAAGGTCTTTTTTTTAAAGCTGATCAGTGTTGGTTAACTCTGAAGGTAAACATAGGTTAATAAGCAAATTAACTGTACTTATGATTATGATTATTTCTGATGATTATTGTGTTCATTGTAAGGTAGATAATCTTTATATCTTATAAACAGCCTTTTATGCGATTAGTAAGTCAAAAGCCACAAACTCTGTATATCAAAAATCTGGATTAACTCTTCTTTTCTGGTTCCTAAATCCAGTTTAAGGCCAACAAACAAAAAGCCAGTTTTCCTTTTTTTTAACCCAACACGACTTAAAAAGCCAGAAAAGAGTATAAAAGGTAAATTGTGATTACAATTTAATTCCAGGATAATTTACACCAAACAAGTGATTAACGTTTAAATGGTAAACAAATTATTCTTGACATTATATCATAATTATTGTGGATCAATGATGAATGTAAATTAATCAATGGTAAACCCATAAACCCGATTTATCAACAGCTAAGAGAAAGGGTTTTGTTAAATATTTAATAACTGTTGAGTTTTCGGATTGATTTTGATATTAAATTATAAATTTACAAATCTAGTAATGATTGAGGTAATGATGATGGTTATGATGATCATTATTACGATGATTATTATGATATTGTAAGATTAGTGACTATATCTGTTGTTAATATGTTTAATCTCTTTTCTTTATTCCTATTTGTAATGTGGTTATAACCCGATTTAACGGAAGATTAGGCCAAATCAAAGTCCATCTAAATCTCATTAAAGCATCATTGGAACACAGTTTACCTCAAGTTAATCATTTCATTGTTACAATTGTTGCTATTAAAAGGTTAGGATAACAAATTAAATTTATTTTCATTTCCCAAAAAAGCAAAAACAAAAACAATCAACTGAATGGCAACAAGGTTTCAATGTTGACCAGAAAACCCATTTTTTGAGTCTTTCAATTTCAACTTGCACTTAAACCAATTCTTGACTCATTTCCATATTTCATGAGAAATTCATTTAAAAACTCAATCATAATGTCAATGCTTTTAAGGGCAACTCTTCCTAATCAGGATAAATGCGATGAGTAAATAAGTTAATTGTTGTTCCTTAAAAAGGTTCAACGTTTACAGAAGTGATAATTTCTTCTCCTTTCGACATTTCTTTTCCTCTGTCTTCAGGATCGACAAGATTATCTTTTGGTTCCTTTTTTGACATTTGTCATTGTTAAGTGGTCACTCTTTACCGTCCAACTCAGATTAACTGAACAATCATCTGAGTAAACTAATGAATGAATTCAATTAGAGTTGTTTCAGGCGCTTCCAATCACGTAAACAAAAATAAAATTTTTCATCAACTCTGCCTTTGGTGCAAACCCGAAATTGAGTTAAGCTCTTAAGTGAAACCTCGCTTTGAACTTTCAATTTTCACTTGAAATTCCATTGGAATTTCCATATTTTCAAAGTTTCAGTTGAAACAATTGTCAAGGTTTTCCGTTGAAAACGAATCGATAATTCCTTTATCTATCAAAATTAATCCCTTTTTCCCTTTCTTTTTGGTCCTCTTTGGTCTCATGGTCAAGGCTAAAAGTAGAGTCAAAGTTGACCATTGAGATTGTCTTTTGTTCAATTTTGCCTTTCAATTGTTCTTAAATTTGGAATGGAAAAAATCACTGAAATGAAACAATTTACCTTTAATTTAAAACCTTTTCCATTTCCATTATTATTTTATATATATTAATGAATATATTGAATAGTTGATTAGTTTAATGTAAGCATTTGTCCATCTCCTTTTATCTCAACTGATGGACAGTAAAAGGAAGGGAGAGAAACAAAAAATGTGAAAAAATACGAGAAAAAAAGGTTTCAATATAAGGCTGCTTGGACAAAAATATGGTCAAAGAGGAATGAGAATATCAATTTGATCCGTTTTATTGTTACGGACAATATTAACTGAACATATTAACTAATTCCTTTGCTGTTTGTTTATTGATATGATAACAAGATACAACAATAATGGACAGAATGTCATCCTTTTATCACTTTTGCATCACTTTCCTATCATTTGTTGCTCTAACCATCTGCCCATCATTGGATTGAAAAAGCCTAAAATCAATTTCCCAGTAAACCATAATTATCAGAATCAATGATAAAAAACATGAGCCTTCAACATAAACTAAACTTGCACTGAAATTGGCTCAATTTTGTCCGAATACCTTGCAATGAATATTCACCAAAATAGAATCCAATAGAAACCCTGAAATCCATTTCAAATGTTTGAAATTTGAAATCAACTGAAATTCAGATGAACTCTTGAAATGTTTTTTTCCAAGGTTTCCCCAATTACTGAGAGTACATTTTGAGGCCTGGAGTCGGTTTGCAAATCCTTGCTAATTAAAGCAAATAAAAGGTCACTAATCCCTCAGTCGAAGATTGAGAGATGGTCAAAATTTAAACTCAAAAGGGCGACAATTGAAAATCAGTTGAGAAGAGCTGAAAACAATTGATATGAAATGAGAAATATATTGAATCAAATGGAAATATTCTGACCATTCTTAATCTTTAGCCGGTGGATTAACAGCCTTTTGTTTGCTTAAAATAAGAAGGATTTACACAGTGACTCTTCACCAACTTTAAAAGGTTTAAGTTTACTTATCAGGTTAAATTTTGGAGAACCTTTCCTTGACCAACCTTTTCACCTGAAAATTTTCTCCTTTGCTAATTACTTGTATTGCTAATTAGTCAATATTGACCACTCTAAATAGACCTTTTCTGGCCCTTTTAAACGGCAATTATTAAGTGACAACTTTTGCTCGATTTTTGGTTGAACCTCCTTTTTGGTTGGAATCAAATTTTTGTGTTGAACCACAAAATTGAGCTTCTCTCCATTTACGACATTCAAACAATGTTTCTATATATTTATATACATATAAACATTTAATGTAATGTAATATAATAATAATAATGTTAATAAAGGAAAAAATTTGAATGAACAAACAAATTGTCACCTCAACCGTGATGATAACTTTGATTGTTGTTATTCATTTACTTGGCAAATGGTGTTGATGTTGATGTTGTTGTTACTTTGCTTGGCGTTGTTTGGCTACTGTTGAATTATAACTAGATACAGTAACCCTCTTCCCATCCAATGGTTTAAATGCGTTTTTCAACAAAATGGTTGCTGGTTTCACTGTTGATCAAATGTCCCTCTCTCTTTACAGCATTTGTCTATTGTGTCACTTAACTTGTAACAATCAACTTTGAACGCAAAAGAAGCAAAGAAGCAAAAATTGAACGAATCCAAGTCCCAATTTCCGTTTATTTTTACTCCAAGTCATCTTCGTCTAAGTGTTTGTATATAAATAAAATTGCGGTTTTTTTCTGCTCTTACAGAGCCAGGGTTGAAATGTTACCATTGAAATGGCAAAATATCATCATCTCTCGAAAGCAAAGGAAAGGAGAGCCAAAACGATGGACCAGTCAATCAATTGAGAAAAGGCGAAATTGAAAGTGAAATTGAAACAGTTTTTTTTTACTTCAATTGTATTTATATGTGTGTTAAGATGAGAGGAGTGAGTGGTGAGGAGAGAGGACAAAATGGTTGGAGAAGGAGGACGATGAAAGACGATGAAAGACGAAAGCCACTAAAAGAGACTGGAAAAACTCTCGAACCTTGACAGACCGCTTTTATCGGGCCAAAGTTGAAGATCGCTTTTTTTGATGTATCATTGTATATATACATTTATCAAAAGGTTTTTACCTGCAAAACTTACATTTAACAATGTTTGTCTCTTTATTGTTTTCCTCTTGTTACCTTTTCTTCCCTCTAACCTGGCTAAAGTAGCAGCACATCCAGCACAGGTAACCTGAGATATAAAGTACACATACAATAATGGAGGCAAGATAAAGATAGTTACAAATTGAGATGGTAAAAAGGAGCAAACATTATTATTATTATCATCATCATTATTATTATGATAATAATGTTGAATGATAGTCTCTTGCTCTCATGTTTTCTTAAGAAAGGTTAAAGGACATTTTTAACTAACAATCAGACCTCAAATAAGGTTGAACAAGAAATGAAAACAGTTTCCGATTCATTTGTAAGATTCAATTGTCAAATGTAACCAAAGACGCTTGGAGACACACTCAAAGCACCGTTCAACGCACACACATTAAACAACATTATTGGTAACAATTTAGGTCAATTTGGTAAGTGAAAAGAAGAAGCTTTTTAAACCATTTTTATTATATTTCTTTAACATTTTTACTTTTCTCTTTTCAGTTTTTACCTTCAATTGATGTTTCCAATTGGCTTGTCTCACTTATCATCGAGCAACATCACAGCCTTCAATATCATCATCAACTGACCATTGCATTAAAAAAGAAGATGAAAAATGGACCTTTCAAGGAATCACAATTTTCTCATTTTCTTTCCCAAGAAAAGTCACAAAAAAATTCTGGTTCATGATGAGTCAATCTTGTCAATATTTGAAAGATTATCTGAAAGGAAAAGCAAACAAAGTGAAAATTGGTAAAAAAGTGCAACGAATGCAAAATTGAACTGATTAGCAGCTCATTTAAGCGCGACTTTCCCGGTTTGGACCAATATGGCAAATCTTAAAGTTAACATGTTTTATCAAAATATCTGTTGCTACAATGACAAAGGATGTTGAGATAAAGGAACTGAAAAAAGTTGAAATGGCTCTGAAAAAAAGGGAAAAAAGTGAATCCCAAAAATGGATCTGAAAATATTATTCACCATTTAATGTTATTAATTCCCATAATTCCCTTGATAATGTTCATAAATAATACAAGATAGTAATGGGAATGATATAATAAAATTTACGTTGATTTAATTGTAAAGGTAAAGAGGAAAGAAGAGGATGAAAATGTTGGTAAAAAAAAGAGTTGGTAACAATGGAGGAACCAGAAAAAAATGGATGATATAAAAAAAAGTTGGATAAATAAATTATCTAAACATAATGAAATGTTATCATCCATTATCACCATTATAAACGTGAAAATGTTGAACCATTTAGCCAGTTCTTGATATTATTATTGTATTTATTATGATATTAATGGATATAAATAGATATGGACAGATCAGGCAAATTGAATTGTTCAATAATAATGATTGAAGTTAATTTGAGTGATACAAATGAATAAGTCAAGTGTAACTAAACAGTCAACATATTATCATTCAATTACATTTTTGCTGACAGCAATTTTCAACTTTAACCCAACATTAGGCTTTTCCTAAGCGCAATGTTGATGTTGAAATGGACAGGAAAAAAAGCTAAATATTGAAATCAAATTGTCTTTTGATAAAATGTGATAACCTTTGATAGGGAATTCAAGTTGCACGGATTGAAAAAACATGAAACAATTGGATTAACCAAAATTCATGTTAATGTATGTCTATCAAGTTGATAGTGTTTATAATTTTCATTTTGGGTAATGTTAATGTTTCCCATTTTGCTGAGAGACTCTCAATGGAATTGACTGGTAACCTTGATTTGAGGAGAAACTTGATAGTAATATTCAGTTTTAACTTTGATAACTTTACATGAATATCTATAATATTGAGCTGAGTTTTTTTGGGAAATCGAAGGACAACAATTTTCCTCTGCGCATCGTAAAGATGAGTTTTTTAGAGTCACTTTTGTATTGAAAATACATTGGAGTTAGGTTTTGTTAGCTGTTGTGAGGATTGTTTTCATTATTTGACTCGGTTTTGGTTGTTGTTTGTTTTAATTTTTTCATGTCCAGTGTATTGTTGATTGAGAAAAATTAAGGTCCATCAGTTAATTTTCATTGATTCAATGTGATTGTTGATGAAATTTAACTATGATTGGCTTGGTTCCTTTTGGCTCCACCTTCAACTTTGCTTCTCCTCCTCTTTAAAAAGCAGCTCACTTACCTTGGTTCAACTCAAACATCTTCAGTCACTCAAAGTAACATTTTCAGTTGAAGCTAACACATCAAATCATCATTTCACTAAACAGAGTATCAATGGACCATTCGTTTTTTTCAACATCAGGCTACCATCATCGTGGTCCCATCTATCCATACGGATTGCCTTCTACCACTGTAGATCTCATTCACACACCATATCCAGGTAAAAAAAAGATTGTCAACCTTTCCGACCTTTTGTTCAAATTCATCTTTTTATTTCACAAGTTTAATCCTTTTTAAGCTTTAATCCGTAAGCTTGTGAAATATCGTCGGATTAAACTTGGGAAATGAAAAGATGAATTTTAACAAAAGGCAATCTCATATTCCTGTCGCTCTCCTAGATATATATTTTTCCCTCTCTCCTCTCTTTCCTATTCTCCCTCTCTTTTGATTCATCTACACATTTTCAACTCACATCTGATGTTTTATTAACATAAATTAATCACATATTTCCTTTGCTTTTCTTTCAATTGTGACCCAATAGGAACTATGTCTCCAAATGGGCAGGCACCAACACCTAGGAAACAACGCCGGGAACGTACAACATTTACGAGAGCCCAACTTGATGAACTTGAGGATTTATTTAAGAAAACACGTTATCCAGACATTTTTATGCGGGAAGAAGTGGCAGCTAAGATAGGTTTACCTGAATCTAGGGTACAAGTTTGGTTTAAAAATCGTCGTGCAAAGTGCCGGCAACAGCAACAACAAAATCAGCAGAACGGACGTGTAAAACCTAAAAAGGAACCCAAAGTTGAAGTGCCACCAACCACCACCACATCATCCACATCTTCATCAACATCAACAACCACCACAACCATTAGCAACTCAAATTATTCTCCTAAACAAGTGAAGGAAGAATTCCAGGATGTCAATAGGTTACAACAGCAACAAGTTATTCAACATCAGCAACTACATCAACATCCAAATGGACCCTTACAAGGTCATTATGCGCAACCACAACATTTTTCACCGTCATCAGGTTTATATCAAAATCAAATGGAAGGATATCATCACATGGATCAAATGTCAATTCAACAGTCGATGCAGAATCATCCACCGCCAACATATTATCCACATCATCACTACCCTTTTCATCAGTTTTAATTTAATTTAACTATTGCTTGTATGACGATGTTTAACTTCACTTTCATCATCAACATTTCCGTCATTCAGATATACCTCTTTAATCGTGAAAAGATAATCGGTTAAATTCTTTAATGAGGTTATTTGTACATTTGAGAAAATAAAAATTATTCATCTTCAATTTGAAAATCTTCATTTTCGAAAAGAGCCTTGAAACGTTCATCTTTTAACAGAGCAAGACTCGATTTAGCCTTCTTAGTTCCTTCGCCGCTCAATTCCAACTCGTACAATTTCTTGGCTAATTCGGCATTCACTTTAGGTAATTTAGTTTCCAGTTTGACTCTATCGCCAGTTTGAGCATCGAGCGCTTCTTTAATCTTCTTTTTCTTGTAAAGTTCATAAGCAAACGGATTAGAAGCTGCTTTTGCTTTGTTATACAATCGGTGATCAACGAAAAATCCATGCATATATGCTCTCAACAAATTTGTTCCAATTAAATGATTTAGACCAAGTTCTTCAAGATCTTTGGTTGTAACAAACTTGTAATCATCATAAATCGAATCGTCTTGATCTTCTTCGAGTTCTTCTACTATAGAATCTAAGAAAGAACACCATCGCGGGGCAGAACCCATACTTGGAATGAAATAACTTTGAATTTTTGTGTTCTCACAGGCTAAGAAAAACATTCCTGAATTCGGTATCAAACATAAATCATTCAACTCATATTGACTCTGAATAGACGTGAAAGGTTTTCCTGTTTCTCGGTCCCATATCTTAACTACTTTACTATCCATTGATAAAACTAAATCATTTTCTGGACTAAAGACAACGTTCTTGATCGGCAATCCATACATGTGGTCTTTTGTATAATAAGGCTTATTAGATCGAATATCATACAAAAGTACAATGCCCGTTTCAGTTCCAACAGCTAAATTGACACCATCCTTGAATGCCATTGATCTAACTCCCGGAAGACCTTGATACGAAAATAATAATGAACAAGAATTAGTGACAATCAATAATTAGAAATATGATGCCAGGTTAAAAGATAGAACATCAGCAATAAAGTTTTACGGCATGAAAAGAGTAAACAAAACTAAACTACCAATTTTTAAATTGAAATGCGAATCAGTATTGATACAAATTGTTATTTATGCCATACTTAGATTTGAAAATTAAATTGCAAATTTTACAGCTGATTTCTACTTCATTGAAAATTATTTTAAATTGATTAAAAAACTTTCTTTCGTATGTATTTTAATTACCTTGAGGGTCGACTGTTAAAGAAGATAGTGCACAATCGAGTATACCGACTCTTTCACGAACTCGAGGATCCCAAGCCTCAACTTGGCCATCTACCGAGCCACAAACAAATAACTGATGAGATGGATTGATCTTGCAACAATTGTATGAAGTTGAACTCCCCTGATAAGGATTCAAGAATTGTCCTCTCTCCAGATTTAATCTAATTATATCACTAGTATCACCAACGAAGAATAGTTCACAATTAGATTTGTGATAATCAAGATCTCTACCGAATTTGGGGATTCTTAAACGATAGTAGCGTCCACCTTGTGCATGAAATTCAACATAACGATCACAGAACATGAAAACTAGTTTGGTATAATCTTCAGACAGAGTTTTGCATTTAACCACTTCTGAATCGAAGCATCTTTCAAATTTCATAGATAAGTTGTTAACATCATAACACTTCATTCGAGGCTTGTAAACACCGCATGCAATGATATATTGTCCATCTGGAGTCAAAGTTATAGTATCACAAACTTGTGGCATCTCAAAATCTTGAATCAATTCAATACGTCTTTTTAAAGCTGGCTCTTTTTTCAGCAATTGTCGTTTCTTTCGATCAGGTAACCAATCAGGAAACGTTTTACCACAACTGAGGTTGTAGATTTTAACATTATTTACATCAGTAACTTCCATGGTTCAAAATAAATAAAAAAAACAGAATAATAATAAATTAATTTTTCAATAAACGTTCTTCACTGAAAAAGTCACATGTGTTTTTAAATACAAAAGCGTTACTAAAGCAACTAAACATCAAAACAGATCTTTAAGTCCACTTCAGTATCAGATATTTGCTTAGTTCAAGACTCGTTAGATGGCAGTATAAGCCGGTACCATAGGTGCGATGTTTCCATGGATTTAAGAGCCTACTTTTTTCACCATTTGTTAATTTTTGAAGTCCTTTTTACCATTAATAAATTTAAATTTTCCTTAATTTAAATTGTACATTGTCAATAAGTATGACTCAGTATTTACCACCAAATCTTTTGGCGTTATTCGCTCCGCGTGATCCCATTCCTTATCTCCCTCCAGTTGATAAATTACCCTTTCAAAAGAAGACAACGGGCTACATCGGTGTTTCCAAATATCTCTCCTATTTTGAAGTAAGTACTAAAATTAACTTTCAATTTTTATTCATCTAAACGTCTTTTTATCATTATTTTCATTTTTCAGGATCCCAAAGATACTCCACCACCAAAAAGAATAGAAAGCAGAGAGGAACATCTTGAGAGAAAGAGACGAGAAAAAGCAGAACAAGTAGTGTATAGACTAGAACAGAGAATAGCATTATGGGACCCACAAAATAATGCAACGGCCACTACTGATCCTTATAAAACTCTTTTTGTTGCTAGAATTAATTATGATACGTCTGAAAGTAAATTGCGGCGTGAATTCGAAGCGTACGGAACCATTAAAAAGGTAAATTTTGTTATTGTTTTTGTCTCACATGTTTTGATGATTTTATCAATTAATACTCTTATCTTTCTTATCTCTTTTGACCTTTCTAGGTAGTAATAGTACATGACAAAATAAGTGGTAAACATCGAGGCTATGCTTTCATTGAATACGAACATGAACGAGATATGCATGGTATGTTAACCTTTCTTTTTATACTCAAGCAAAGATGGCTGCTAGAAGTGCTCAGCATCTATGCGAAAATGCTCTGTTTTTATTGTAAAAGGATTTGAGGTTTGTTTGAAAAATGCTACCAAATTGAAAAATTTATTTATGTCAATTTGAGTCCGAGACTTAAAAAAGAGCATATTTAATCTAATCTTGGACGATTTGGTAAGTGTGTAGATGAGGTTTGTCATTGTTTTTGCGGTAAGGTATTTTAGACTTTTCTTCATTCTTTAACTTTCCTTTTGAACTACTTGTATCACGGATATCTGTGTGTCAATGAGAAGAAAATCGGTGTAAGGGTAAGATTCCGGTAAGATTTACAATTATAATTTTAGACTATTATCCTTTTTGAACTTGATCTTTTCGTGTGGAAAGTATAACAGGGCGATGATGTATATGGAGAAATGTGTTCTCTATCATCAAACTACTTTGGATAAATCATCTTAAATCAATATTTAAATGGATGGATACATCTGTTAAGTATTTTATTTATATTCATTAAGTTAATTTAATTGTAGGTCGAAGAATCATTTATTTTTTATATTAACTATAAAAAATGATATTTTGTTTTCTGTTAGTAAGTAATGTGGGTATTTCTGTTGAACAAACAATTGCTATCATAGTACTTGTCTTATTTGAACTTGAACAAACTGAGAAATCAAAGAGTTTTTTCGGCCTCCTCATTTTTTTTACAATTGATTTTATACAGCGGCTTACAAATATGCTGACGGTAAGAAAATTGATGGTAGACGGGTTCTTGTCGACGTGGAACGAGGTAGGACTGTTAAAGGATGGCTACCAAGAAAATTAGGTAAGTCTTCGGCTATTTGACATTATTTTAAGTTTTATTCTCATTTGAAAATTTCAATTTCTAACTTATTCTCTTTTTCTTTCAAGGCGGCGGACTTGGAGGTACAAGAAGGGGTGGGCCAGAACAGAATGCTAAACATTCTGGACGAGAAGACAATAGATATGATGATGCGTAAGTTTATTCGTTAACAATACTAAATTTGTATGACAACTAATTCTCATTCATTTATTCTTTCATTCACAGGGAACGTGAAAGGTTTGAACGCTTGAACATGTCTAGAGATCGCGATCGAGACCGCGATCGTGAACGAGATCGAGAAAGAGGGGATAGAGGAGATCGAGCTGATCGAGGGGATCGGGGTGATCGGGGTGATCGGGGTGATCGAGAGCGTAGGAAACGCCGTAGTAGAAGTAGAGATAGAGAACGTGATCGAGAGCGAAGAAAGCGTAGCAGAAGTCCTAGAGAGAAAGAACGAGATCGCACGGAAAAGGTGGACCGTCGCAGAGTGGACGGATCCCGAAGTCCGGCTAAGATCAATGCTTTCTAGTTTCTAAATAAATATTCAAATTATTTTTCATTCTGAAATTTTTCATTCCAAGCATGTAATCTACTACGAGATGATGTTCTTTGCTTAGTTTCTATTGTGGAAAAGCTGAAGATGGCCAAGACGAATCGATTTACGATTATCATATAGATCTATAACCACTGAGGAACTTGAAAGAGGAAATTTGCAGATATTGACGATTGGTAGTTTGTAATGGAAATGAGTTCAAGTAGCTTAATCAAGTCACGCTATTTTGAACGAAAGCTTCTAGGTTCTATAAGTATATGAAAATTTTCAGACTGAATGCATAAATTTTATGCGAAAAATAAACCAATCTAATTAAAGTATTTATTGCTCATTACTCATAATTGTCGCAAAAATAACTTCGTTGATATTGCCTGCTAAATTTTTGCTATTTTCATTTTTAAGTTTTACTTTCTAATTACTACCTAATTTTTCCAGCTGACTATATTAAAGTTTATAAAACAAAAGATTGAACAATTTATCGATTCTATCTGAACAACCAAGTTCTCAGTAGATCGTTATGCATCAAGAATACAAACATGTATTGAAACAGATAGAAAAATTTAAAGAGCAATTCTTCTTATCAAGTCACTTTGATTTACTTCACACAATTTGTAATGAGCGCTACAAAGCGCTAGCTTTTATTGGATAGGCAGAGGCGTCTGTAGTCTGTTTTTATTACTATTGGTTTGTTTTCATTTGGCAAAGGAGCATTTTATTTTGTGATTTTACTTTAAATTACATTTTTTCTCTGTTAATTGGTTGACTATGTCTTCTAATAAACAAACAATAAGAAGATATGTTGCTGGTAGAGTTCCTCATTATGCCGGGAATGCTAGTAGTGATGAAGAAGAGGTGGAACAATTTACCACAAAAGATATCGATATTGACAGAAAACTTACATTGGAAAAAGCTCCTGTGAATAAAGTTAGAGGTAAGTAAACAAACATTCATTTGAATTTTAATTTAATAGTTACTTATTTTAATGGAATCTGTCTTATTATTTCCGATTTTTAGGACCAAATAGAACTGTAGAATCTGAGGAAGATGAAGAAGATGAGGTTGAGCATCGTCATGCAGCAATACTTCAAAGAAGAAGAGCTCAAGAGGAAACTGAACTTTTGGCTAATGAAGATTCAGATGATGAGATGAAGGATGATGACGACGAAGATGACAGTGAAGATGAAGATGATAGCGATGAAGAGGATGATGACGAGTACACTGATGATGAAGATGATACTGGTCCTCAACTAAAGCCTGTTTTCGTGCCAAAGAAGCACAGAGAGCAGAAGATTGAAGTTAATATTGAAAGTACAAAAGAAATTGAAAAAAAGAGTCGAGATGAAAGACGCAAGGAGGCTTTAAGGATCATTGAAGAAGAAACCAAGAGAGAATTATTAGATTCTGAGAAAAAGGAAGAGGAGCAATTAAATGAAGACATGTTAGCATGTAATGATGAGGACGACGATGAAGAACTTGAATATGAATCATGGAAAGTACGTGAATTAAAGCGTATCAAGCGTACTAAAGAAGAAAGTGAAGCTGAAATGAAAGAAAAGGCCGAAATTGAAAGATTAAGAAGTCTGACCGAAGAAGAAAGACTAGAAGAATTGAAGAAGAGACCAAAGATAATAACAAATAAAGCCGCGAAAGGTAAATATAAATATCTTCAAAAGTATTATCACCGTGGTGCTTTCTACATGGATCAAGAAGAAACCATCCTGAAGAGGAATTATGCTGAACCTACATTAGAAGATCAATTTGACAAAACTATCCTTCCAAAAATCATGCAAGTCAAAAACTTTGGTCGATCTGGTCGAACCAAATACACACATTTGGTTGATCAAGATACAACCGCATTTGATTCGCCATGGGCTACAGAAAATGCTCAAACCTCAAAGTTCCACAATACAGCCGGAGGAATGAAACAGTGTTTTGATAGACCAACCAAAAAAAGAAAATGAGTTTAAGCAAAATTTCCTGTAAATAATACCAAATCCATTTACTCATCTAACATGTATGATATTTCTGCCAGTCACGGTATCTTTTACAATGTTTAATATTAAAAACAGATTGTTCTCATTTCAAAATAGTAAATATTTTTCAGATAAATTTTTAAATCACTAAACTTGAACAAATTTTCAAATCCTTGAATTACGGAATTTATCAGGGTTTCCATTTTCTTGCAAGTCACAGATATCAACTAGATTATCATCCAACACGCAATATTTCTCCTAATAGATATGATTACTACCTCCATTTATGATGCAACTCAGTCAAACGGTAAATTGCATTTATCAATAGATGTCAATAAGAGATGTAAACAATTGAAATAGATGATTTATGAGGATTGAATTTTCCAGAGATCATTTTCAGTGTCAAAGTAAACATTTGTCTGTGTATTTACTACATTGTTATATAATTTGACAGACGTTCAGAATCGAACAACTCTGAGCATCGTCCTTGACCTATTTAACAGCAAAAGATTCAAAGAAAGGTCAATCTGAGTCGAGGATGAATAGATGAGGATGAAGTGAGAGATGTTTCGGATATCAAACGATTAACATCAAAAGTAATGCCACTGTTTTACAATTAGTTCACATTGAGACAAAAAATCAACCATTTGTTAAAACATGTCCTGTCTTTGTATAAGTTAATGTTTTTTTTACCAATAGGTGACTCGCACAGTAAAGTAAACAGAAAATAAAATTCTTCAAACATCATCAGATGAGACATGAAAAAATATAATCTAAATAAATGAAAAACAACAGAAAAATATCAACAATATAAACATCATTCAACAGCTTTCTGGCAACTCTGTCTTCCAAGACTTCTCCTTATTTTAGGTATCAAACCAGATTGGAGAGATAGAGAGAGTGAGAGAAAGAGAAAGAGAAGGAGGGAGAAAAGGGGAGAAAAGACCAGTTGGTTACTAATCTTTCTACAGTTAACAACGCTAAGCAGTCATCATCATCATCATCAACAACAACAATAACAGTAACAGTAACAACAGCAACACATTTTGCTCCTCTCTCGATCTTTATAACATCTTCTCGATCAAATCAGTAAACCTATTCTCATCTTGCATCTATTGTTACAATTTACTTAATTCAAAATGGATTCGGAAGAAGGTGAGTCATCCTAGTCATCCCGGTCAATATTAAAAGTTATCTTATTCTTATGTGAACACATTTTATATATTTTCCATGTTATAATCTTCTAGTTCGAATGTGCCTTTGATTAATATTTAACGGTTTTTTTCTCCATATCTTTTGTATTTTTTTGTGTCGACCTTTCTTTTATCAACATCGTGTGATGCATTACAAATTCAATATCCATCATCGTGTGTGCCTTGGTAACTAATTTTCAATGCTCTCAATATCATCATGCTTGATTTTAAAATGATGAGAAGAAAAAATTCTGATGACCACAACTCGTCCTGCTGCTGGACATACAATATTGAAAATTGAAAGATTGACTGCTGCTCAATTGGATGAGAATGGAGCCATGCATGTTGGTGGTGGTGACAATAAAGGTATCATTATTAATCGCCCGGGAGTTACCGGTAAGTAATCTAGTTTTTAGTCAATTCTTGGATTACCATGTGGATCAAAGAACCTCTTTCTCATGCTTTCTCTCTAACATTTACCATTTTCCCTCTATTTTGGCTCCCATTTATCATTGATTTTTCTTTCTTTTTCCAGTCAAAAGTGATCTTGATGGTAAAGTAGCTCACCTTAGCTTGTCATTTAAAGTATTTCTTGTTAACTCATCAACTACAAATGTCCATGTTGAGGAGCACCGAAGTCTTAAATTTTGGTTCAAAGAAGGAATAACTGAAAACGATCAACTAATGACTGCCCAAGAATTTTTTCGTGATCTAGTCAATCCAAGTGATTTTCCGCGTGATTATGTTGGTTTCATTATGAAGGTTATCAAGCTATTACAGCGTAAATATTTAACCATTAGACAAGTACAACTGGATATGAAACAATCTGAAGAGAAAAGTGAATTACCAAGTCGCCCGGGTAAGATGAAAGCACCAAAACGAAGAAGGTTGATGATAATACCGAGAAGACTTTTTCAAACCAACGATCCATGTTATCAACAAAATACAAATTTAAACACTCTACCAGTCACATAAACATATTTTTCCCAATTGACTTCAATGTCAATTACTCTCTCTTTCTCCGTTTTCTTACAATACAATCCATGCTGTTACTTTCTAGAGCTATTAGTCTCTCATGTTAGTTATCTTCAGGTGAAAAAAATAAGTTTCATCATTCTATCAACTCAGCCTCTCTGAAGATTTACTTTTGATCAATCTTTACCAGTTTTTCATTTACCTTTCCGTTTATTGTCAACTTGTAAGATTCATCTTCCATTACGTAAGCCTTTCCATCTCCATGGTTGACGTTGTCTTATTTATGAGTATCTCATAATATGCTTACAATTACTGCCTGCAATGTATTGTAAAAAAATATTAGTTTCCATGTATCTAATTGAAATTTATAGTTAATGTGGTGTGGTTACCTTTACCTTTTAAACTGCAATTACTAAGTAATTCAATATTTCGACTCAAATTTCGAGTCAACTCTTGACTTTGAGTTTAACATTTTTACCCGTTTTTTTAATGCTGTTACAGATTTCAAGTATAAATTTCCGATTGATCTTTTAACCATTTTCATCTTAAATTTCTAACATGCTTCATCAACCTGATCACAATCTACCGTTACTGATAGTCTTTCAATTTAGTTGCCGATATTGTTATTCAATCATTATGGCCAATTGTGAAAAAGAGATGAAACCTTGCAACTTGAAACATCACTCAGATTAGTCTGATTTTTATGAGCAGTTTAAGGATAATCTTGCACTTTATTGATCATCTGTATTCACCTTCTCTCTTCATCATCCTTCTTCCCCTCATTCATTATTCAGCTATCTTGTTATGGTTAACCCTGCAACTCTTAAACTGTTAAACTGTTTCATCAACAATGTTTTTGTTTACTGTTTAAGGTTTCTTCTTCTTCTTCTTTTTTTTCATTTTTCGACATAAATCTCCGGAAGAACCATTATTACCCTGTAATCGATACTTCATTTTGAGCATAGTAATGATCTTTTACATTTTGCCTTTTTCCTTTCATGCTTCTTGAAAAGCTGAACAAAAAAAAGTATTTTTAGTTTTTCCTTTTTCTGCCAAACTCATCCTCTGTCTTTCTGTCATCATTACATTACGTTTTTCACTGATTTGCAAGTTAATTTCATTCTTCATCTCAATTGTTGAGTTTATCAACTAAAACGAAAATGGCCTTCCATCGAAGCGTTCCGAGAAAACATTTCCCTCCGTCCTTGTCACTTTATTTTGTATTATCATTTTATAAGTTTTTGAGTTTTTTTTATTTTTTTTATTTTTCATTTTTCCCTTATCAATCCCAATTCAGACTCGATGGCAACCGTTATTAACCTGGATAGTTTTGGTAATGATTGTGATAAATCTCCACTTGATTTACCGATTCCTCAGATTCAATCATCAGCTCAATCACATTTCACCAATGGTGATTTAAATGATTGTCTCATTGGCAATCATAACTCATTTGTACCACAATCCAATGGTTCTGACTCTTCAGTTGAACACGACAAAGGTTTTCATTGAATATCAATTTCTGAATATTAATCTAACACAAACTCTTGCTCTAACATTTTTCATTGCCTTTATCTAATCTCATCTAACATTTCATCTTAACACCTTAGAACTATAATCAACATGATTGAAAGAAGGAGGATGAAAAGCGATGATAAAAATTGTTGATGATGATGAATCATTGATTTTAATGACACCTACTAACTTAACGATGATCCTTCAATCTAATTTTAGGTTTACTCCAATCATGTTAACTAAATATACTTCTTTTGTAGACTAATAGCTTCTGCTTTTGTTGATTACAATTTTCAATCAGTATTCTGATGTCCATTACTGAATTCATGTTTCACGATAGATTTCAATTGCCTTTTTGTACCCTATTTGGTGATCTAATTTACTCTATTAATTTAATTTACCTTCAACATTAGTATTCTTTAGCCAACTCTTTTCATTGAAAACGTTTTCTCTTCACCTAATCTTCAATTTTTTTAAAAACCTTAATCACAATCACAGTTGAAGTATTACAGTTAATGCTATGCTCATCATCAGTTACCTTTCTTGTATTACCTTTTGTTTAGAGGTTAATCATATGCAAATATGATTAGTTTAACTCAATTTGTTATTCTTCTGTTGTTTTATTAACAAAAAAGGGAAAGGATTGAAAAGTTATTAATATTGTTAAATGTTTAAACTAAATTTATCAATCCAATTATGCTGTTGTAACGGTAGATTTTTCAGATTATCAGACTTTCTCTTTTCTATCGCTAAGTTAATTACTCAATTAACAATCAACAAGATAAGCCTACTAAAATTTGTTTAAATAAGTCTAAACATCTAAGCTCCAAGATGCTATCTTATTGCATTTATAATGTAAAATTTTCATCCAATTTTACTAACATTGCACCCACTAAATTAACTTTTAATTGATTGCTTGCTTATTAATGTTGAGATAAATGTTTACAATTTATGGAAAGCAGAAAAACTTCATTTATTGTTAACCATCTTTTTTCCTCCTTGTACACCATCAATGCTGCCATATTAACCAAGTCATTAATCTATCTGTAAATTCAATGATTATCTTTCAATTTACTAATTTTGTCTTTTTCTTCATTTGCTATTTAGTTTCCGTGGATGAAGCAGCCTTGGGATCGCTCGTTGAGTTAACTCAAGCTCGAGTCTTGGAGATTATTGAATCATCTTATCCAAATGTAGTTACCTTGGAAGACATTGTCAAGTAGGTTCATCAGCAAAGCCTAAAATGCTAGGAAATACAAAGAAATACTTGAAAACTGTCAATCTCATTGATTCCGAGTTAATTATCACAATTTACTGTATTTTTTCCTTGTTTATTTTCTCACCTTTTCCCTGTCTATTAGGACTACTAATTCAACAGAGGAGGAGGTTAACTTCCACATCACTGATCTTATCTCCAAAAATATCATTGAACCAATGGATAACCTTGGTTTTATCCGGGTCAACCGGAATGATACCCAAGTTAAAATGGTTAAGCAAATGCCCAAAGTACAAAAATCACAGCAACCAACAATTGCCATAATAACAGCTCAATATTGTGAAAAGCTGGCAGTTGATGCCATGATTGAAGATAAAGACACTTATGTTAAATATAAGACGGAAGGTAACATTATTAGAATCAACTTTAACAATGGAAAAAAAGATATCTCCTCTTAAATCATATCTTTTGTCCTACATTTTTTGTCTTATTTTTCTTAATTTCTATTTCTTTTTTTTGTTTTCTTTTTGCTTTCTCAGGTGAATCGAATGTTTACACTTTAGGTACAATTGGAAAACATCGAGTTGTCTCTACGAAACTTCCAACCATCGGAACAACTCGAGGAGCAATGATTGCTGCTGGTAACACAACAACAAGACTTTTAGGTGATAAAACATTTTTCCTGTCAACAATGATGTTTATCAAGTTTTCAGTTAATTTTTCTTTTGGCTTTTATCCTTTTGGTGATGAGAGACAAGTTAAAACATTCATCATGATCAAAAGATTTCCGTTGACTCTTTCAAGGATTCAGATTGAAACTACAACTTCACTGTTTGCAAATCAAGTTGCTAGCGCGAAAAATTGGATATAAATTATTATTCAAAAAAGTTGCCGGTTAGTTAGGTTGTACATCGTAGTGTATCGGATTGTTTATTTTGCATCTGGCATCTTTTCAGTCTAATGAGCTCCATTATGATCGAGAAAATTTGCAAATTACTTGAATGATAGCCATTTCAGTGGAGTCTGTAAATTTTAAGCATAATCTCATTAGAATTTCATTCTGATACAAATCAAAGTTGATCTTGATCTGCCCTTCTTAATCTTTATCATCAGCTAAAAAATTTGAAACACCTCTAAAGATGAAAGCTAAAGATAAATAAAAATAAATCAGACTGATTTTGATTTGAGTTGACTTCTGAAAAGAAGTAAAAAATTGAACAATAACCAAATCAAACAGTTGATTGACCTTTATTCTTCTTTTGGTATTTTAATTTTTTTTGTAGGTGTTTTATGTATTCTCACACTTTATTTGACGTTGATTCGACTTTTTGACTTGATCACCCAAAAGAATCACAATTTATGCTTTATTTTTATCTATTGTTATTTTTAATTCTAACCTTTCTTTGTTAAATTTCATCTTTTTTAGGCACTTTTCAACATGTTGAACATGTTTTCCTTGTTGGTCTTGGTGGCGGTGTTGCCCATTATACAGATTTTAGTAAACACGTTCGTTTAGGGGATGTTGTGGTTTCAATTCCTCCACCTACTACAAGTAATTCACCTACACACAAACCATACATTTATATACATTGTGAAAAGATTACCAGCTTGGCAGCTGAGGAAAAAGTTAATGGAATGAACGGTGATGATTCTGCTGATGGTTTCACCTTTCGAACTTGGGGTCCAGCAAATTTGGAGCTTCAAGAATTGAGTCAAAAATTGTTGAAAGAGGGAACATCAGATGAAAGTAAAAGAACTTGGGAAACTAATTTAATCACTGGAATTGAGACATTAAAATGTCATGAAACGGATTTTACTCGACCCGCACCAGAAACGGATAAACTATTTATGGCATTAGGAGCAAAAGATGTTTTAGAAGTGATTCATCCTGAGGTTCCTGAAGGTGTTCATGATCCACGAACAAAAGGAATGCCAATGATTCACTTTGGTGCCATTGCATCGGGTCGATCAGCTGTACGCGATGATCAGGTGCGAGCTGAGATTGCAACTAAATTTGGTGTTTATGCTTTTGATTCTGAATTTGACACAGTCGTTGAATCAATCCACGGAAATCGAAAAGAGAAATATATTTTCATTAGAGGAATTTGTGATTACAAAGACGGGACTCGTAAAAAAGAGTGGCAACCTTTCTCTGCCCTAGCAGCTGCATCATTCATGAAATCGATGATTATGACTTTACCTTTAACAGTTGATGAATAATTTGATGGGCAAGTTCAACCTTTAAGTCAGGAAAATAATCAAACGAAGAGAGTCAAGCTAACCAATCTACTAAGAAATAATCAAAATGAGTTTCAGGTTATATGGAACCTGAGTCAAGGAAAACCCTCAATATTTCCTTTTGCATTTTCTTCTCTTTCAAGTCACCATCTCAAGCCATCATCAAATAACCATGTAAAGCTACTCTATTTAAACTGTGAATCATCAAATTTTTCTAATTTATTATTTGTTATGTTTGTTTTTTTGTGCTTTCCTCGTCATCATTTTCAAGTTATCATCATTCATTTATTTCTTCACTACAGACGCAAATAATACCAGATCTCTACATAACATAACATACATACACAATTTTAAACAAATTAATAATATATACATATATATGTATCAATTTATATAGAAACATATTATCTGGATTCTCCATTCTGGACTCTTGGCTCATGCCAAATGTTTAACAACTGAAGCTACGGAAACCAACCAAAGACAAAAAATTGAGGCAATTGGACAACCTGAATTTAGTTGATTAATCACCAAACAAGTCATTTTATGGGGCAAAATTCAATATTAATTATGTTAAAGGTTTCAAAGAATCTTTTTCATCATTAAACTGGTCAAATCTATTCAACTCAGACATGCAAAATCAACTTTTGGTTTGTGAACGCTGATGGAGTTGATGAACGCTGAATCCAGATGGCGCCCCTGTTATTAGCATTTTTGTTTATTTTGAGTTCGTTTTAAATCAAAACCTGATGTGATCATTTACAATGATTGACAATTAACCAATCTTCATGATCTTTCAACTAAAGCTCAGTTCAACTAAGAGATTAATACTTGGAATGAGAAGCAAAATGTTGCAATTGTTTAACCATGTTGATTGTGCCAAATCATCTATTTTGTTTTTCTTGTTAATACACATAGTATTTCCTATTCAGCAACACACGATTCACCTGCATCATTTTCCCTCCACACTAGAATAGCTTTGGTGACATAAGCTTTCAATAATTGCTTCAACCGCATTCACAAGTGCATAAGCTCAAAAATTGTAATAATTAAGACGATATTTGTTTAACGACAGCAAAAAACAACGACACTAACCTCCAATTAAAAGCTAAATTTTACCAGGCAAACATACCAGCCCTTAATATCCAAGCAACTTAACTAATAATTTCCGACAAAACTGATTTGCTCATCATTTTTCCCCATTTCAATTGTAATATTTTCATATGGTTTACAGATTGGTGCTATTGAGCCTACAAGTTGAACACATTTTCACCCAAATCATCAACTTAAATCTGTAATTGTTAATATTCATTCGTCTTCTACTCAACACTTATCACTATTTGGTTGCTCATCTCAATACAACTGAATACTTCTTAAAGCCAATGATTACTCAAAAACATTTTGGACTGATTCATGATAACCCAACATAACCTTTCCTAAACCAAAGCTTACCAGAGATATCGGACTGAAAACGGAAATTGGACTTTAAAATAAAATCAGTATCGCATTCAATTACTGATGACAATTTAACTAAAAAATATGCATTAAAAAGGATCCATTTCAGCCCAACAACTCGGATCAAAATGGATGAATAACAATCTAATCCATAATTTTTCTGGACTTCATCTACCATGTTGGATCAGAATATTTCATTTATATAAAGACTATCAGGATTATCGAAGGAGATATTACTTAACTGGAGAAACTTCATGAAAGAAAATTATCTAATATAATTACTTAATTAACTAGTTCTGGCTGATTTTTATTTTGTATTCTGTGAATCTGAATTTTATCAATTTTTCCTTGTCTCCTAAATATCTCGTAATAATCCTAAATATAATATTGATTAACCTTGATAGAGACAGAAATTAATCTAATCTGTATTTATATTTTCATATTATTTATGTTATTATAATCATTTAGTTTATCATAATTTGATTGAATACAATTCAATTTGCAAATAAAGCAACTCAGTCAAGTGATTTAACTCTTTTCTTTCATACTAACTCAAGAAAAATGTAGAGTAGCTTCATTGAGATGAAAATAATTTATTAATTGTAATATTAAACATAACCTAGTTGGTTGATTAATTTAAATTATAACCAATATTTAGAGCATTTCAAAGTGCCATTTAATAAAAAGTGAAGAGTTAATTATAAGCCAATCAAAGACAATAATTAACAAGTTTATGAAGTGAATGCTTTTCATTTGATTGTTTTCAAATGTGTAATGGTTAAAATGATCAACTCAACAATCATCAGCAATCAAGCTTATCCAAGAAAAAATATAAAAACATTAATTAATCATCTATTTTCAGTTTTTTAGACTCAAATAAAACAGTAAATCATCAAGATAATCAAGTTAATTCATTACCTGTTAACCGAATTGCCGGACTTTTCCTCAAACTTTAATTAACAAATCATTTAAAGTCAATCACTTGTTAGCTTCACTAAAAATAGATCTCAAAATAATCATAATTAATATCAATCGGTTCAAAATAATTGATAGTAAAATGAAAATGTTAAACACAGATTTTCAGTGAAAAATAATTTGAAAGCAGCAACCCAAACATTAGGTTTATTATCAAGTCTTAAGTATTGATATTTAATAAAGCGATTGAGAATCGTTTAATCGGTTAAATTGTTGAGATAATGCTTTACATGATTAAGAATCCGGAATACGATTCCAATTTTCATCTGATGAAAAATAAGCTTGGAAATGAATATTTGATCAAACTGGTAAAAGTAACAATCTCGGTTATTTTCTGGTTCACTTTCCTTTTTTTATTTTATTTTCTGGTCTATCTTCTGGTCTTTCCAATCTTCACTGGTTGATTAAACCGACAATAAAAATGGGTTGCCATTAGTGAATATGAATTGATAATTTTATAATTTTGGGTGAGTGATTATCTGGTAATGGTCATAACTGCACGAGAAAAGACAGTTGATCAATTTTGAGTAAAAGTGTATTCATTTCAAATCTTCGAATGCATTTTATTGAAGATTGATGAGAAGAAAAGAAAGAAAAGAAAGAGAAATGTTGGAGAGAACAAGAGAGAAAGGTAAAGTTGTCTTCTTATCTCCCGGAGGGAAGTTTACAGGGTGGATCCTTCAAGAAACGATTGAGTGTTTAGTTGAAAGTCAAAACTGGTTTCAGTGTTGAACTGATCACCATTAGGTTAACATCAACTATTGGTTCACCTTTTTTTTATATCATAATGTGTTTAAAACTCTGATACATTTGTATTGAGAATCAGTTTGAAAAAGAAATCCTTTTTGTTGCCAATTGCCTAACATTGGATTGGTTATTGAACATCTCATGACTGTCATCGTCTGACCAAACGGCTGACTATTTACAATATCTTTGTCTATGTTTCATGTTGTTTTGAGCCATTTTTAACCTTTTTCAACGGATTATTTTTGTTTATGTTTTGCTTCTTCTCTTTACCATCACCAAATTTAATGAAACATCGTCATCTTTCGATATCATCATCAGTACCATTCAGCGTTTTTTTATCATTGTTTACTTATTTCAATGAGTTAACCTTGCCTAAAGTGTTACAATAAAGGGTAAGATCATCATGTTCGTCATTCTTTTAATATCTTCAATTTACATTTATTGTTAATTTGGTTGATATTTACTTTGATAACGTTTTTTCTTTAATGAATCTGCTTCATTTGGATATAAAACCATCAAAATCATCAAGTGTCTTTAAGATCATCATTACCATTCTAATCAACATTTTCAAATAATAACCATCAACTTGAGAAAAAACGAAAGTATTAGATGCAGCAATATCTTTTATTCAGGTGTTGACATCAAACCATTCACCAATTTACTTGAATTTAGGTAAACAATATACTAATCAATATAATCTAACTCTAGTTTGAACAATTATTTGGTGATCAGGTAAAATTAAAAACAACTGAAGTTTAATATCAACATGGATAACAATAATGGAAATTGTTGCGTTTGAAATATAAAACTTTACATTGAAATCATCTTGACTTGGATTAGAATCACTAACAATCTTCTATCTTTTTAATCTGCTTTCAGTTGGAAAACAAAACTAGATCTAAAGATTAAATTGTTAACTGTTGAAGCCGTCTAAAAGCAATTAAATATGGTTACAAATACAGAAGCCAATTCATATGTATCGTCGGTTGAATGGGCAGAAGAAGGCGTTCAACTGAAAGATTTTGCTCGTAAATACAAATTACCCAGTGTTGGTCGAGTGATTAAAGGTCACTACGAGGGGATAGGTGTTCCTAGTTTGTCTTGTCCATCTTCTCGTCAAACAGCTTTTTGGCTAAATGGTGGCCAAGTAATTAAAGTTGCTGCCCAATGTGTAAAATTTAAAGAGTCTCGTGGTTATCATGGATCAATAGCATCTAGACCAGTCCCATTTGGTCCTAGATTGGCAATTCCTGACAATTATGATGGTTTCTTTGAGATTTTATCTGAAGAAGGTCGATCTGTTCGATGTATTGAGAGTGTCAATGAATTGGTTAAGCGATCACCTTCATCAGTTTTAATCCGAGAATCAATTAAAGTGTATCTACCTAAAGGTGATAATGAAAATGTTGTTAGTGATAAAAGTCGCTCACTAGCCATCGGTGAAGTGTTAACGCTAGTTAATAGTGAATCAGATAACATCAACAACAACCATATAAAAACTAACAATAACATTAATAGTAACAAGTCATTCTCATCGTCACCAATCGACCCTTTATCAACAGCACCCACCACATCCTCACCTTGTGATAACCAAGTCAACACCAATTCTGATTCTTCAGTGTCAACATCAGAATCAACTTCTTCCTCGGAATCTTCATCTTCCTCGCCATCACCAATTTCATCAACTTGTTCCTCAACAACCGAATCATCATCTTTTGGAGTGAAATTATCATCGCCAGCATCTCCAACCCATTGTCAACCCGGGACGATAATAACAACCACATCTTCCTCATCCCAAACAAAGTACATTAAAGGTTATACTGGTAAAGGAGATATTGTTTACCTTCCCATTGAAGGTAAAGGGCGTTTCAGTCCCATAGCCAAAGAAGATTCAATATCCGGTGTCCATAGGATATCTTCTCTGTTGACCAAAAGGTTACCCTTAATGGTACGTCTGGTTTTTGGACGTCCTCCAGCAGGCTTTAAATCATTCACACCCGAAATGAGACTTTTTTCAATCTTTTCGGAAGATTATCTTATGGCACTGCCAGTAACAAAGGAATCAGCCCCTGTAGTAACTGTTCCAGTATCAGCTTCATTAAAGATTGTGGTCCCTAAAAATGGTAGTTCACTGTCAAACCATAGATACCATGATATTCTGATTTCTCGTTTCAACGAGAAAACATCAGGTTCACCCAATTCCTTGTTACCCAATCGTATACAAGTTTGTGAAGGTTCATCTCTTGGTAAAAGGTTAAAAAGCAATTGGAAAGAAAGTAACATTCCATTGTCCGGTGAATTAAACAGTGATGCTGCAGTAACTAGTGAATCCGTGAATTACAGTCACAAGAAGAGATTATTCCAATCAGATTCATTGGATTTTGTAAACAACAACATCAACAACACATCATCAAATGAAAGCGATAATGTAAAAAATGTAGACTCTGATTTGACTGAAATAAACGGTGGCCTGATGGGCATTGATGATGAACCCAATAACACTTCAAATGGTAAAACAAATGAAAGTGATGATTTAAATGTCGAGGAAGAAGACGCGGAAGATAATGATGGCTCTTGTTATGACGAAATTGACCAGATTTATGATTATGTTCGAGGTTTTGCTCCACTTCCAGAGAAACTTCGACCATCTCGTACCAGCAATTCAGATTCACCTCCTGAACCGCCACCAATAGAAACAATACCAAGCCTAGTTACCCATCAACATCATCATGGCAATCCTCATCATCCATCCTATCCATCTCATCATCATTCAAGTTATCGACGCTTATCTTATCCAACTGTTTTCCATGAAATTTTACCCAAAATGGGATTATATGAGAAAAAAGTTTCCCCCTCTGAGCATATTTATGAGAAAGTTCCTCTTTCATCTGGACATCATCGGCCTGAGAAGAGATATCACTCTGGAAATATCCGATCAAGAGAAAACTCTTATCATCACCAGCAATCTTCTTCATCTCACAATCACCATGGACCAAGAATACCAATGAGATCTAATAGTACAGGGAAAATGTATCTACCCTTGAATGGATTACCTGTTCATCCTCACCCAGGCCATTTATCCTCATCTAATCATCATTCTTCCACTCAACTTCACCAACTTCATCCATTGCATCAGCAACACAACAATCTTCATCATGCCCCTCTAGCTAAACCAAAACTATTTATTAAATCAAATCATCAGCCATCAGCTGGTCCATTCACTAATGGATCAAATGGCAACTCTAATAATAACCGAAAGACTAACAAATTAATGAGAAATGCCAGAGGATTATCACTTACCAATGAAAACTCTGCTCCTTATTACAACAACAACAATGAGAATGATAAAGATTTAATCTTTAACAACAATAACATCAACAATAACTATCATGGAATCAAAGTCAATACTAACGATATTAACAAGTGGACTTGTCGATCAAGCCGATCATTAACGACATCACCTTTATTCAATATACGATACAAATCATTGACCAATCTTCACTTCATCAATCCACTAGCCAATTCATCATCTTCCAAGGGATGTTATGATCACCATTCAAACAATACTCTTGCCTCATCCAATTCATCGGGTTGTAAAATTTCAAGTGGATCTGGACGTTCAGTAGAGTCACCAAGTGATACCAAGGCCAAAAAAACTCGCAAATTATCCCGTCCACTATCCTTTAGTAACCTATTCTGGGATCTTAAAAATGATTTAATATCATCATCTGCCCATCATAACAATAACAACACTATTGAATCCATTTATCCTGATCCAAGGATATCATCAAGTCCAAATGGAGGTGAACCGAGTGCCATGGTATTAACACAATTAGTTAATAATGTGGCCTCCAATAGACGAGTGGGAACACTTTATTTGTAAATTGAATAAATTATTTTACCATTAATACTTGTATCATCTTGAGTAAAAAAAAGCATTGAACAATCGTTTCTCTCAACCTGATCATCGAGACATTTTCTGGAGGAGATAAATTCATCGTTTTTTTTCACTCTTGCTCATTCAAATTACTAAAGGACTGAACCAGGGAAAAAGATTGTAAAGATTTAAACCAAATCAACTCAATTGGTTATTCATGAGATTTGTCATTCCAAGTGATATTCAAAATTGATCAAAGCCCAATGGATTCAGGAGCAGCAAAATATTACATTCAGTTTCTATGCAGCAATAGAAATGATTGAACCAGTGTTGAATCAAATTGTCTCGTTTCCTAATTATCAACCATTTCTGTTGGTCCATTTAATCATTGAATTTCTTACCATGTAATAATATTGTGCCAACGTTTTCACCTTCTTAATTTCACTTGAAATCTTTTGTCTCGTTTTTTTGTAGTCTTAAAGAAACGGCAAAAAATGATTCCAATTTACCTTGACTCCTACTCATGTTCAACTTATTAATAACAATTTACCAAGTCAATTTAATTATCTTCATCTTCTTTCACTGCAATTAATTAAATGCCATCATCAACTCTACCTTTTTTTTAATTGTCAGAGTTTTTTTCTTTCTTTCAATTCCAACACAATGAAACTTTTAGCTCAACAGCAGCAAGAAAATCATCAAGTGAAACATTCATCAATAGTCTTGTTTTGTAATGAATTTAATATCATTTGAAGCAATTAAACGGTCTCAAATTGCCTTTAAACAATTAACAACACTAAACACAAATGAATTTCAACAAGATTTAAACATTTTCAAATAAAGGCCAAAAAAATTGACTTCAATTGCAAACCACAAATCACAGAAAATGGCTTTTCTTCTCGTTTCTCATTTTACCAGATTAAACAATTGTTAAATTGTATTAAAGGTGATGATTGTGATTAAAAAAACGGTAAAAATGACCTTAAATGTTGAGCATGAAGCAAAAATTAATAAACAATCAAGAGTTAAAATAAGGTGCAGAATTGATTGAAAACAATCCTTCAGAGTTAACATAATGTTTCAAGTTTTCACTTAAATTTTCTGGTTCTTGATTCATTGATAAAACCAGAAAAAATAGCTTTTGATGGATAAGAATGATGATGATGATGATGATGATGATGATGATGGAAAGTAAGAAGATAAGAATACTTATCCTTGGTCCTTTAAAAGTCCGTTTAAACATTTTTTGGTAACTTTTTTTTCTCTTGATCTTGAAACTTCCTTTCTTCTTCTTCTTCTTCTTCTTTTTTTCATCCAACTCAGTTTTTTTCATGATTCTCTTCACCCCTGTGAAGGTAAGGTAAGAGGAGGAGAAAGAGGGAGTTTAAGATGATGATGATGAAGAAGATAATAAGCCTACCCAGTGAGCCGGTTATCTGAACCATAATTTGGCTTGACTTGGCAACATTTGCTGTCCCTTAAAATATGATCAATAGGTTGACTATTTGGTGTTGATCAATGGAAAAGGTTTCCAGTTGGTTGAACAATATCAATTAATTTTCTGGGTTCATCTCAATGTTTCATTGAAATTAAATGTTGAGATACATTTTTGGATTCCTTTCCACTTTTACCAATTTTTTATCAATCGCTTGTGTCTTCATCAATGGAAAGATTAAAAGTGTTTCTCTCAAAGATACCTCACATGTGGTTCAATTGAAAGTTATCTGTTGAATACAGAAACAACAAAAAGCAGGAGTTCTTTACCTGGTTAGATAACCTTTACATGTTTAGGTAGTTTAAAGGTTACTTGACAAGGTAATCTGAGAAAGATGATGAGAAACAAATGATGAGAATGATGAAGAGAGTGAGAGAAGTGAAGGTAAAGATGACGAGATATGCTTAAATAATACTTAATCAGAAAAATAGGGAAGAAGATGATTAAAAAAGATATATCATGATGAAACTGGTTTGTTGAGTTTAAAATTTGGTTACTTCTGCCTTCTCTTTTCTCCATTTCAATTCTCTGTTCCAATGATATCAATATTTTAGTCAATATTTCAAGTTGATTCAGTAGTGGCATGAAAATGAAAACAAGAGAACAAGCAAAAACAAAAAGAAAAGCAAAACTGGTTAACATTCACAGTTTTACCAGAAAATAAACAGTTCACACACAGTTTATTAAGATTACTAACTTACCAATCAATTTAAAGAATTGCCTTTTTCAGGAAATTCAATTCCTTAAGGCCAGCAATCAGTTTAAATTATCCTTAAATTACTGCAAATGATGCATTTTCAATTTATCCCTTCAATCTTAAATACAAATCTTGGACTTTGTTTTATATTTTCTGGTTAGCCTTTTTCTGGTTACATTTCAATTTTGGGTTTTACTGCAAGCAAGTCAAATATTCAAACCATAAATGATGACAATTTTGTGGAGAGAAGGGAAAAAACAATGAAATGAATTACATGATCAACTGAGAATTTTGAAATGTAATATTTTCTTCCTGTTTGTAAAAATCTGGTTTCATTTAAAAAGCAACTTTTTTGGCCAAATTTTTCATTTTATTGTTGTTCAAACCTTAAATATTAACTGTGAATTTGTTTCCACGCTCATTCTCATCTTTCTTCATCATCTTCATTGGATTATTTGCTTTTTCATCTAATTCTGTCTTTCATTTTTTCTCCTTCCTCATTTTGCACCATTGAGCTATTACAATTTTTACGCTCTTCTTGTTCCACTTTTCGCGATTGAAACTGAAGCTTGACATTTTTTTCCTACAACCACTTTATTCATTAGCGACATTAATTGTCATATTGAGCCTTTTTACTGCATCTTGATGGTCAAAGATGGACTTAACCAGGCGCTGGTTGAGGATGATTTTTGAAGATCAGTAGGAAACATCATGAAGAAGACACTCAAGGTTGATGTGTGAGTGTTTGACTGAATTTTTGTGTGTGTTTTTTTCTTGCGTTAACACTTCTTGTAGTTAATCTGCAAGGTCAGTTCAAAGTAATATTAATATGATTACTGTGGTCGTTTATTAAATTGTAAGTGTATGTGTGTGTGGGATTATTCAGACTAAATTAGGAGTTGTGTTATTGTCTGTTATTGTGTATTATTGTAATGATGACATTGAATTGGAAAGAAGAAGATGAAGAAAAGGTAAAAATGAATCAAATAATGTAATACTAATCACATTGTTGGAGAAAAAATAACTCAACTGTGATTATAATTGTGAGTGTTTACTTTCCCTTCAAAATTATGAAATGAAACATAATGTAATACTGTGAAGGTCCCTAACATTGAATGATTGTGCAGTTTCGCAGTTTCTTAGGTGGTTACAAGTGTTGATTGTTTTCATTGATTCCTGTGTGGGAGATTTTATAAGGTGATAATCAAGTTAATTTTGCTATTTGTAACAATTAATACATCAATTTCAAGACGGGAAGAAGGTCTTAAGGTGACGTTGAGCGATTGGAAAGCAAAAGATGGACAGAAGATGACGATTGGGAAATATATTATCTATTGGTTCCAATGATTTTCTGGATGACAATTAGTCTTTATTTTTACCAATCAGGATATGGACACAATTGCGAAGAGGATTTTGAAAGAATCAACAATTATTTGATTGTACTGGAAAAATATGTTTAACAATGAAATTTTACATGAGGAAGTTTCAAGTTTACAGTTACGTTATCGACTGTTGTAAAGTCATTGAAAAGCAAATTGTAAAGGTTATAATCACAATGAACCAGGAACATTATTATAATTGTTAATGTACAGTGATTAATAGCAGTGAAATTTATCTTAAGTGATTAACATTGAATTTGGAGAGAGAGAGAGAAGCTTTCATTTTCATAATTCAATTGAGTTGATGGCTTGTTGAGTATAAGCAATATGATGAAAGCACGATCAACAACAATCAGAAGCTGATATGGATGCCAATCAATAAACGTCAAAAGGAGTAATGAAAGAGTTGATCTCACCCATTAACTGATGTTTCTCATTGAGAGCCGATGAACGTAAAGTAAAAGTATAAGGCGAACAATAATTTTGAAATGTTTTTTGTTCTACCTGTTTAATGGAACAGTAAAGCAACTTAATGGAAGACAAAATGGTTATGATCTTGAAAGGATTACCTTCAATCTGTATTCATCGTTCAGACTGTATATGTGTTTATCGTTTCTCCTTACATGATGAACATTTCAGGAAGAAGAAGAAGGATAAATGAATAATGAAATAATAATAATAATATAATAATAATAATGATAATTTCAATAATGATTAGCTGGAATAATTTAAGAGAGAGAGAAAAAAATTGAACGGAAAAAAGAGAGGTTAAGAGAGTAAATCAAAGGGAATTAAAATGATAACCTTGATTATTGGTTAAACCTTCATTATTCATGGTAATTTGATTAGTGGCGTGAATTTCATTTTCATCAATATTATTATTTGGCTATCAGATTAACAAATTGTGTTGTTGCCCAAATTGTTAATTTTTACTGGTGCTTCTGCTGGTTACCAGATAAACCATTATCACTTTGAGGTTGTTGATGCATACAAAAAGGCCAAATTTTCCTTTTCAAATTCACCCTTTTCTTCAGGTAACCATTATTGATATTGATTTAAGCTTCTCATTGATTCATTTCTCGGTTCAGATTAATCATAATTAAGCTTGACTTTCCAACATTAATTGGATTATTGAGGAGAGAAACAAACTGGCTCCGATTGAAGCAAACCTTGATCGCTTGGACGATGTACAATGATCATTGATACAACTTGCACATTACTTAAACACATTAAAATTACATAACATTAATAATACCTATAATTATCAAATTGTACAAAAACCTTATTAATTAGGTGTTCATTGATAGTTTGGAGTTTTTTTACGACAAAAAGGTTTAAGCTTACCTTGTCTCACTTGGCTTAGTTAACCACTCGATTTAGATTTACTCAATTAGCTTCACTTTAACGGCTACAATTAACACTCTTGAACGGCAAGAGTTACATTTTGGACTAATTTTAGTCCAATTTAATTGATTCAATTCAATTTACGCAATTTATTTAATTCGGATCAAGGCTGATAATCAATCAACAAGTGACTATTGATCGAGACTTAACCTATTGTCACTAAATTATGTCAAAATAGCAGAAAGGGCTAATCTCACGAAATAACAATTTAAGAGGGAAAATTGTGGTTTGGCTTTACAATTTTTTTTCCTCTTTCATTTCTTTCTTTCTTTTACTGTTAATTATATGATTGTGATAATGTTATTGTTAATATTGATGATAATCGGGCCGGAAGTATTGGTCAAGTTCAATCAAATGATAGTCTAAGGTGTTTCATTATTCAGCTCAAGTGAACAATAAGTATACAATAAGTGAGTATATCAGATGAATCATTGAATTGAAAAGACAACTCTTTTTTTACCTCCTTTTTTTCTGTGTTATTATCAGAGAAATAATCAACAATGATAATGATCAAGTAGGATACCAAGGAAGTGATGAAGAGGAGAGGATACCTTTTAATTATGAAATAAGACATGATGATCATGGCCATCAATGTATGATGAGAGTCTTAAAATCTAATGATGCAAAAATGAAGCCAACAAAGGAGTATGAAAAGAGGATTATTGTCATTTTGGATATAAAGTTATGGTGATGTCTCTCTTTCTTTTTGTCTTTCCCTTCCATTCTTCTTCTTCTCATCATCATGGTCTCATCTTTCTTACCTACTATCAGTTTGTGTAATAACAGTTATTTGACTTCAAATATGCTTTTTTCATTACCTGAAGCTCATTGCGATATCTTTCACTAAAAGATTTTTTTCTTTCTTTTAATTTAGATATTACATCTTTAACTGTTGATACGTTTGGATATTTTGATCAAGGCTTTTCATTTATTATGTAGTCGTATTTTTCATGGCAAGCTCAGATTTTATATCAATGCATTTTTACAAGTTCATCATTCTGAAGAGCTGATAAAGGCTTGCAAATGTATTTTTTCAATGCAAATCAATGGACTTGCCTTAGGTTTATCTTTCTGCATGAAACCACATGTAAAAAGAATGCAAACTGCATAGGAAATGAAGAGCCTTGATTCTGATTACCGAATATCGTTATTATCACTCGGGTTGTTACTTTGGTTACCTTTTTACAAAGCCAATGCCCAGGTAGTTGAACTTTTTCCACACATTTAGTATCAACTTCGTCACCAGCTGATGGGACCACCACCTAATATGAGGTCAAATGATTGATAAACCTTTTCTTTGGCAAAATCAAGAATAAACAGGAAACCAATGAGCTTTTATCTAACTGTTGGTGCGATTATGATTGCATCAAAAAAGCAAACGATCAACAAGGAGTAGTCAACAATTAGCTTATCAACTTTAATAGCTCAACTTTTTGAAAAGATTACCTGACATTCCAGGAAGTTGATTGTCACCAATATCACCATTGTCAACATAACACCGTATTCATTATCAAACATTGTCTTCCCAGTTGAAAGAAGCAAATAAAATAATAATTAGACAACAAACCAAAAGGTAAGGTTGTATACCAATGATGTGACCAAACCCAAATTGAATCATGTGTCTACAGTGACGGGCTTGGTTATAGTCAACATCATCATCATCACCATCAAAATTTTTGATATCTCAAAGGCCTTTTCCCTTTGTTGCTTATAATTTTGATGTTAAGACGATGACAACTTTTACTTAAACAAAAACATGATCCTAATTAGCTGTCAATGATCTTTAACAAGGTAACTCCATAATAATTACATTGATTAAAATCAGTATTATCTTGTTTCTTTTCCCACTCTTGAATCTTTACAGGAAAAGTAACATGAGTTCAGTTTAAATATTTGTAGCTTAATCTACTCCCGATTAACTAACCGTTTAACATTTAAATATTCAAATGACTGTCAACCATCTAATATCATCACCATTATCATCATTGAAACAAAAACCTGTTGAAACATACATCAACAGATTGTAATATATTTTTTTGATCGCCCTTGAGCTGACATTTTATCACCATTAGGTCAAGTTTATTGATAAAACAAAATGATAAACAAAAAGAGTGATTATCACCATTTGTATCATTGATTTGTTCATTTGCTTTGCATATCATTATTATTTAATAACTTCAACCCAAGCAGAAATAATATTGTCCTTCATTTTCAATGACCATGAAATTGTTCACAAAAAAATTATCACTTGGAAGAAACAAGCCGAAAGAAAGCAAAAATAATTGTATTTCCAGCAAACAAACAAACATCATCATTTAAAATTATCTCAAGATAATGGTGATGATATTGGCGGACAATAAGAAGCGTAAGAAAAGTTGATTTCAATTGAGTTAATCTAATTGCTATCAGAAAAAAAATTGAAGGTAACACTTTGATTGAGAAAAGTAAAAGCTTCACCTTTGTTCCACTGTGATCAACATCATGTTGACCAAAAACTGTATTAGGTGTTCATTTCATGGCTCCTTCGTGATGATTTATTCATCATATCATCTTCACTATAATTAATTGTTATTAATAACACGCCTGCACGGAGATACACACAAATATAACGTTTAAACAAACTGTTAACAACATTTTTCACCTTCAATTGATTTACAGGGAAAGAATGGTTACGATGAATATTTTGCTGATTTTTTTTTCAATTTTCTTGATGAAGGACAACCAACAGATGATCATGATGGTGATGATAAGATGACATTGATTTACATCGATTATTCTGAGGTGAAGATGAAACATCAACTGCCAATGACAGTGTAAGGTTTATACGGAGGTTGTAATGCTCAAGATTGGTTAACCTTCAACAACCTTTTGATATTTTGCAAATTAAATCACTGAATCCTAATTCTGATCTTTTCTCTATCTTACAGTTTTGGTGTTTGATTGTTGAAATCATTTCAATGCTATATTGTTATTCACCTTTATTGTCCAACACTAACAAGACTAAAATGAATGGCTATTCAAGAAAATGATTTACAACTCATGATGCTGCTCGGATGATTGTTGATGGTTACTCGATAATTGATGAATGATTTATCTTTTTCAACCTTTTCCTAACTGGACAATTATTGTGATGATTAATAGGTTTGTTGATTGTTTCTGGTCTTGATTAAGATTGTTTTTAATGCTTTTCCCTGAATTACTCTTGTTCTTGTTTTTATAGTTTTGGTCAAATTTTTGCGCATTTAATTGGACTTTCCTTTCAACTTGATTTGATTGACTGATTAACTTTAGACCCACCTTGTTAACAGTACGTTAATGTATGCAAAGTGGATTAGATTTAAAAATGATTTGTACCTCGTTGCTGTTGAAGGTGGTTTTAAGTCCTTTACCTGATCCATAATAAAAACGATATTCGTAAATGACCTAAAAATGGTCACAGTGGACACTTCCGGGCTTATCCTTACAGATCAACGAAACCATTAAAAAAAGGTAATTTCATTTCGTTTTTCAACCAATTTTTACAATCGATTACTAATCATTTTTTATCCTTTTTTAATCAGTGATCAAGTGAGGAAAGTGAAAGAAGAGGCAAAAAAGGGAAACGCAGAGGAAGAGATGAAGACGATGGAGATCATGATGATGGACAAGAGCATGAACATGATTTAAGGTGAGTTGGATTCATTAAAGAAGACAACTTGAAAAGGAGGAAAAAAGAAAGGAAGAACAAGTTGAAAGATGAGAAATGAAAAGTGAACTGAAGACGTCCACAGATTTGAATAAGCTTGTTTCTCTATTTTTTTTGTAAATCAACTTTCAGATTCTTGAAAAGGTTGAAATTTAAAATGAAAATTGCTAATCCAAACTAGCTGATAAATTTGTTAAACTGGAATGAAACCTTTTCAGATTATCACGGCTCTTTATCCTCATCATATTGCTTTCCCTCTCTTTATCTTCTTCCCAATGAGCATAACAACAATCATAATATAACAATTGTAGTAGCAACAATAAAAGAAAAGTAACCAAAAAAGCATAACACCATTAAAAAAGCATTGGGATTCTTCATCATATCAACTGGTTATCCTGTGTGTGTGTGTGTGTGTTAAGTTCATTGCAGGTCATTTCTGGTTTTGTTGTTCATCTTTGTTGTACTCTTGATACCTGCTACTATAAGGTGTGTTCAGTGTTACTAATGAAACAAAAGTCACTCTCTGTTCATTTCATGGAGAGTTTCTCATTTTCCTGGTTAAACTAGATGTAAAAGAAAAGAGCTGTAAAGAAGCTCAGAAATACTGTAACGTTGGGTTAACAGGTAAACAACAAAATGTCAGTGATGTTTTCATTGGCATTAGCGTTTTGTAAATAAGACAATCAGGAAAAGGATGATAAAAGGTGCCATTTTGATTGAAATAGCAATGGTGATAGGGAGGATAAAGGTAAAGATGAAAGAGGTAAAATAACCATGAAAATTGATGCTCCTGTTGAGGAAAGTAGATACAGATTTTTTTTTCTTATATTTTGGATACGGAAGATAAATTTGATTTCATCTTGTTCATCAAGTCAATCCATCATTTCATTTTTACAATCGTCTTGTTGAACGTTTCAGATTTGGATGAACTGTGTGTGTGTGCTTTTCTTGTTCATTTACCAACTCAATTTGATTAATGCTAATGTAAAACAATTACTGTGATTATTATGATTGAAATGGGTAAAGAAGATAATAATGGTGATAGACGATGATGATCAACATGATTTTCATTTTGATGATGAACAGCCAAATTTGAAACTAATATTTTTTTTTATCTCTCTTCTTTTGCAGTTGATTGAGAAATAATAAAGTGTAATGATAATGGATCCATTAGTAGGGATGAGAAAGATTTGGCCAAAAAAAGAAGAGGCAACAGAAACAAAATGATCCTAGGTCAACGTATTGTTGATACTATGATAATAACATGTTGATGAAGAGTAAAAAAACAAGGTAAGAATATATTGTTGACCTTTTCATCTTTCTCATCTTGTTACTCCATTAAATTTTATTAACTAGCCCGTATATTTACCTGGTTACATGAAATGAACGAGAGGAAAAAAAGTACAAATCAAAGATTAAGCATGCATGTTATGCCATTACAGACACACTGACAACAAGACCAGTAGACCAAAAGGGGAGGAAAGTTGCGACTCAAGGATCAATCGAAAGATAATGGACCTCGAATTATTGGGAAATTTGACATTTTTTCACTTGAACCAATCGACATATCGGCCATATCTAATCACAACCAGTAAAGTATCCAATTAACCAGAGAAGGCTGTAATTGAAAGATAAATTGGCAAAAGAACACAAAAGCAGTCAATAATTGAGAAAATTAACATTTTATGGAAATTTGACTATTGACTTTATGCACGAAAAAAAGGTTAATTTAATTTAACTTTTAGGAACAATCAGTTGTATTAATGCCTGGGTCACAGTGGCATTGTCCAAAATTATCACAAATACCATAACCATTACAGTTTCCTGGACAAGCATTTTCATTGATGATTTGATTGACGGGAATACATTTCGTATCGATACAAATACCCAAATAGTCAAAGCCACAAACAGCACCATTAGGTGCATACCCAGCATTTTTCGGTATCAGATCAACGAAATCAAAGGTTACACATCCAATAGGTTCTCTTGTAGTATAGTAAAAAATTTGCCATTTTGATGTATGATAAAAAGCTGCAACATAAGTGACCTCATGTGTCATGTTTGGATCACAAGCAAGTCGACCGCACTCGATATCTGCATAATCACAAAGTACCCCAGAATTGGTTCTATTTACACCACAAGGATGTAGGCCTTTAACCATGAAATTGGTATGAAAACACAACAAGCTTCCTCGTTTAGCAGATCCCTGATTAAGATATGAACAATGAGCATCAGGAGATCCACATTTTCCTTTAAAACAAAACCCATCAAGTGCACAACGAACTCCATCATGAACAGTTTTATCTTCAGGACAGAATTGACTTTGTCCATCACAATATTCAACAAAATCACAATTAGAATCAGTCGATTGTCTACAAATAGTTTCATATGATGCTTCAATGTAATTACAAGTTGTAAGATTACAACAAGGACCCGAACCACAGACAGCATTTGAAGTCAAAGTACAAGTTTGTGGATTACAACATGGTCCACAACCTGTACTGCTTGGTCCACAGTCGCACTCTTCATTAGAATGAACAATACCATCTCCACAATAGGAAGGTGCAGCTTCACTTGGTGGAATGGTGAGACACTGTGAAAGTGCTATTTTTTTGAAATAGTTAAAATAAGCAAATGAACAGTTCGTCCAACCCATTACATGTGCAGGGTTATTTGCACCATATGGATTCATTATGCACCAATTATATGGACACGGACAGTAACCTTTATCATCATGTTCCATAGAAAGCTGATGCCCAATCTCATGAGCCAAGATTGAACCCATTATCGCAATCGATGAATCCAGTTTAAGTATAATAGCTGAACTATCACGTGCACAGGCTCCACTTAAAGCAGCGCCACCGCCAATAGTAGTATTGTTTGGAGAGTTACTGAGAAAAACCAATGTATAGTTCGAATAGATACTAGTAAAGGGCTCATTTGTACTTTTATACACTCTTATATTATTCAGCTCGATACCAGGATGAGTATTTGAGATGCTTCCATGTTCCGTAGTCCACACAATTGTTTCCACCAATGAAATAAAAACATTGTGCATTTTCATGTAATAAGCTGCACCGTTAACTATTTCTCGAGCTATTTGCTTACATGTTGTAATATTTTGTGAATAATGAAGATAAGTGTGATAATCAACAAGCATCACAATTTTAAGGTAATAACGTTCATCTTGACTTGATATTTTTTGAAAAAATATGAAAACTAAAATAACATGAAACACCACTTGTTTTAATGAAACTTCAATATACATTTTAAGCTTCTTTTTTGACAAAAGATCCAGTGCGAAACAATCTAACTGAAACAAAACAATTATCGCATTTACTGATCAAGATTATATAATTTGTCTTTTAGTATTGAAAAGATGATTTTAATTGTTGAAGGAAACATTAATTTAATTTTTCCATTGATACCTCTCGAAATGAATTAGTATTAAAATGTTGCATGTTCCTTCGCTGGCTTTTTTATATAAGCCTCAACATTGTCACCAGTTGTTGACCTTTACTTGTAAAAAATGTAAATTGTGATTAAAAGCAGCATGTAAAGAAATAATATTCATGTTAATGATGTTGATGATGATTAACATTATGGTGAAGAGGAACAAACGAGTATATTAGTTACACAGTAACCTTATCATGAAACTGAGGCCAACAAATTGGAATACATAATCAACTCTGTAAACCTGGTTCAACCATTTTCCCATTGTTGAACCTAAAAAAAGAGGCTTGAAACAAAGCAATAAATAAAAGTTTACTTACCTGGTGAATTCAAATAAAATTGCATTTCTTAATAAACCATTTCTTCCTTGAACTTGTTTAACCAATTTGATTATATATTTAAGTAAAAAAACGCAATTACAATTACAGGCAAACAAAGCGATTCACCCGATCAATCACTTTCTTGTCCAATCCTTTTCATCTTGTACTACCAAATAAAAAGAGCGCGCCACATATGAATAGTAAAAGTATTAAACCCAAATTAATAGACATAATTGCTATCATCATAGCAATTTGATGAATAAATTGTCTGTAACTAATTGTGCAAATAAAGTACACAATGGTCCAAGAGCAAAGGGTATAATCAAAAATCAATGATGTCATAAAATGAAAACAAGAAATGAATCAATAGACGAGAAAGATAATGTTTTATGAAAAATTGATTATTGACTTTATACAAATTGATCACTAATTATATAGAGAAGTTAAATTATACTATCAGAGCAATCAGGTAAATTATAGCCTAGTGGACAATGACACTGTCCAAGATTATCACCAAGACCATAACCATAACAGTTTCCTGGACAAGCATTCATTGATGATTTGGTGAACAGAAATACATTTTGTATCGATACAAATACCCAAATAGTCAAAGCCATTAGGTGTTAAACCTATTTGCTTCACAGTTTTTGGGTTAAAATTTTCTGGTTGAAAATTTACCAGAATTTTTTGTCCAATTTTTTGGTTTAAATTTTTCTGCTTCTCTGAGAAGTTTTTTTTCTCAGGTAATTTCCCTGGTTTCGCCTTTGATGGATAACCAACTTTTGGTCATTCGTTTAACAAAGCAATTTACGATTCAATTTGGTTTAATTAACCAACATTCATTACTAGATTAACTTGAACAATTGTTGACAATTTATCAAGGTTAAATGATCTATGGTTTTAGGGTGACTTTAATTGACTTGAAAACCATTTAAACTGGCAATTACGGTTGAACCTTGATAATCAAGGTGAATAACATAATCAACTTACAATTGCCTTTCAATTCATTTTCACCTTTCCTTCCCTTTATTACTCAATTAATAACATAGATTTAACATTGTTAACATTTACATTATTATTAAGGTAAGTTTAATTTGATAACTAAATTGTCTTTGTACATTTACCAAGGCTAACTACAATCTGAATACATTAATAAACTCAATAATCATCTTAAACACTTTTACAATTTACTTCATTTGGCGTTTTGTTTAAAGAAACAAAGGGAATCATTGGATTCGCAATTAACAGTTTAATCAGCTAATTCATAAACTACTTTTTACTTTTGACCTAAAAATTGTTTAATCAATCATTGATTAATCCTTCAATTAGTTGGTAATTTGATTAACATTGCTAGCCATAACCAAAAGAGTAATCATTTTCGGGATTTGTTTTACTTTGACTTACTCATTGAGAAGTTGAAGGTTAAATCATTGTTTAATCATAATTGGAAAACTCTTTTAGGTTCAATTATAATTAAATGGTCATTTGATGTTCATTGATTGTTAAACAATCAAATTGTATCATTCAAGTAAATTGCTGATCAAACTGTTGCTCTAATGTTAAATAAACTGACAATGACCAGGAATAAATTATTGGATAGATTAGTGTAATCTGGATTTCAAGCAATTCAATGAGAAATTGATGAAAAATGAAATATCTCAGGTAACATGTTATATGAATGCTAAACGATTTAAACAGGTTATTCAGTTTCAAGTCATTATATCTAAACTAATTTTATAGAAACACAAATAAGTGTCTGAAGTCGAAAGGAAAGAAAATTTCGTGAATTTCGCCTGAACAAGATTCAGTTCTTCACTGGACTTTTCTGGTTATCTTATGGAAATTCTGATCTGAAATCGCTTCCATTCATTATTAAAATTGGAAGTTTATATTACACTTCAAGATCTGATTGATCTTTCGGATCAAAAGCTTCTGGTCTAACTAGATGTCATGAGCTATGATTGAACCTTAAGCCATCTAATAGTTAAAGTTGATATTGCTAACTGTTAGGTCTTGTCTTTGAGCTTCCAACAACTGAGCAGTGAAATGAGATTCACTTAAATATCTGAGAAATCTTGATAAAAATGAAAAATTGAGATTCAAGGTGGACGCAGCTTCTGGGAAAGGATTAAATTATGTCAAAGAAAGTTTTAATTTTGCACTTTACAGTCGTTAAAAGATCAGTTATCCTGATACCATGAAAAACAAGAAACTTTGTTGAAACCTTTTGTTTAATGTTTCCATTCAAAGGTTATTTACTTTATTTCCTACTGAAATTTGTCTCATTTTTGGAGGTAAATTTAAACCGGACTTTAGACTAATCAATTTAGATTGAATTTAAATTGAATTTTTTTGCGGTGATTTGTTTAATTACGTTAATAATATGATAATAGAAAGGAAAAAGTAAGATTGGTTTTAAAATTGAGAGGCCACAAAGGCCGAAAGCTAATCAATTGTTGAATGGAATTAAAAAATAATGAGAATTATGAAGTTGATGGAAACAGAGGCTCGGAAATTGGCGATACAAATGATGAGAAAAGCTTGAAAGATCAAGATTTTAATCAGAGAATGTCAAGAAATGAAAACAAGAAGAGAAAAGTTAAATAGAAATGAGAAGTTAAATGAAAGTCTGGTTAGAAGATGAAGAGATGAAGAAGAAGGCAAAATATGAAATGGATGTTGATGATGATGATGACCGGTGTAACAAGATTTACTAAGTGTCAAGGTAAGATGATGTAAAGACTGAAAACAGGAAGAAACCTGCAATTGAAAGAAACATAAAAATGCTTTTGTTTGAAGGTAAAGGGGCGAAAAATGCGCATTTCATGTTCATCATGATTCTCAGGGAAAAGGGCAAGTGAACCGAAGAAGATGGCTAACAGAAAGAAGAAGGCGAAGAATGGCGAAAATCGTAAGAATGGAATGATGAAGATGAGGAGGAAGCAAATGCTGTTGAGGTTAAGGGTTAAGTCAACTCATGTTTTCATCTTTTTTATGTTTTTTTACTTTTCCTTTTCTCTCTCCATCCAAAGATGCAAACATTTCCTCATTTGTTTATTGTTTACAATTTGATTCACAATTTAACCATTTAATCAATTAATTAATGATTGAATATTTTATTCCGTGTAAACATTAAACAGTAAATCAAGTTGATTTATGGGAAACATTCAAAGTGAATATTAACTAGCCAATCGAGTTGATTTATTAGGAAAGAAGCAAAATGTTTCCATTTTTAAAGCTGTTCAGAATTGTTATTCATTATCATGATATTCATCATCATTATCAACTTTCTTCTTCCTCTTCACCCACCATAACCAGTTTTATTTTATAGTGAAAAGTCAATGAGTCAATGACACATTAGATAAACAAGTTATCAATATTCATCTCAGAATCAATCTGTCAATATATTTCAATCCAAGTCTCAGTGATTTCAGTAGGAAACTATTAAAACTGTTTATTACCATTTGATTGCCGTTGAAACATTAAAGCTTGATCCTTTCAAAGTGAATCAACTCTGGATATTTACATTGGAATTAAAATATTGCAATAATTGTTGGTTACAATCAACTTCCTTCTGACACAATGGTTTTACATTGTTTGAGGTAAAGTTGTTGAACTTGACCATTGAAAGATTCATTGTCAAGAGCACAACAATCAAAAGATTATCATTGAAAATCAAGACTAAATTTGATGCTTTTCATTTGCATTTGAAAAGTTGATCAATTTCAACCCTTAATATGATCACATTTGATAACACCTTTAATAATATTCAATGTAACCATTGTTTGACAGTCAATTTTGATTCCGTTTTGGTTACACTTTTTTTCCTTCCAACCATTTTTTACCATCAATAAACCGTCTTTTATTAACATTGAAGTATCACAATTGACAATTTTGATCGCACTTTCAGCAAGGTTACAATTTATAAATCATATAACTGATCATCTTATATTGTTGAAAAAAACAGGAAAACACTTAAGTCTACTTCCTTGTTTTTATCATGTTTCATCAGGAAGATGCTGAAAGGAGACTTCTCATGATAATTTTAAGTATCAATGAATCTTTCATGATCATTATTATTGTTATTATTGGATTTACCGTGTAACAAATGTATTGATATTGTTTCATTTGCCTTTTGAATTTTCCTTTCCAATCATATATCAACATCTTTCAAGCCACATTCAACTCATTTGATTGTTCATCTGTTAATATCATTGAATAATGATGATAATAGTAGACTTTATTTTGCCAGTTATTTGGTTAAACCATTTGAATCTCACGTTATAAATGGCCAACAGTTATAACTGTAATTTTAGTTTCAACTGCCGACATCGTTAATCATTATCTGTTAACAATGTTTTTGCCTTCAATTTAAATAATTGTAACGCTTAGTGGGTAATAGGTACAGTTGATTAAATAGTTATTATTTTAAATGTTTACATAATTGACCTGATAAAGGATGAAATGAAATAAAAAACCCAAAAAGTGATGGCAAACAGGGGATGATCAATTTGATGCAATTAAGTTAATATGGTTACAGTTGACTTTGATTGTTTACTGTTGTTGGTTTACAATAATTTATCATAATGGCAAAATATAGAGATGAAGAGTTGTTATTAAATACAAAAGGCATCAACTAATTGTAATTTATCCTCTCAAAAATGGATCAATTGTTTTTATTTGGCTATTGGCTAATCTTTTGTCTTCTTTCTTCTCTGATGCATTGAATCGAGGAGTTTGTCGATAGTTGGTTAATTGGCCTGAATTGTTATCATCTTTCAATTGATCGACATCGTTTGTGTAGTCCGCTTTCGATGAATCATAATTCAAGGGTTTCTTGGGAAGATTGGTGTAGCCAATGCCATTGGTGTTGTTTTCACCTTCATCGTAATCAACTGAACTTGTATCATATACAGATGATCGAGGACTCCATTTGTGATTAGCAATGAAGGGATTATGATTTGATGGTATTAGAGGCTTTTGTATTGATGATTCAACTGATGTTGGTGCATTTACTTTGAATGGTTTCCTTGTTGATCCTAGTTGAGGGTTGAGGGTAAATGGTTGGGTCAGAGGTATGATTTAAAGGTTTAATGACAATTAGAAAATTAATGGATGGTTAATGGGAATAATTTTCAGCTATTGATTGTGATTGGAGGTTACAAGTTACCTGGATAATTACGAGTCTCTCCGTCATAATCAACAGAAGGTTTTATTCCTGAGAAACGATTAATGTTTCGTCCATTATTTATCGGCCTATTATTTGGTACAGATAATCGACGAGGTTTATCTTGCTTTCGCAATCGTTTGGAATCATAAACGGGATCAGGAGAATAATCAACTCCAGGTTCAACATCGTTTTGTTGATAAGAATCTGCTGAATGTCCTCCAAAATCTCTCAAATTTTCACCTCGATAACCAGATTGGCCGAATGTACCAGGCCTGTATCGACCAGAATCTTGATTGAACCTATTGAAATTGGATCCACGTGGGTAAGATTGGGTTCGACCATTACCATATTGATCATTGTTGCCATTGTTATTGTCATAATCATTAGTTTCACCAGATGAATAAGCACCATTTTTATAGTTATTGTAACGATTATTATCTCCTTTAGAGCGAACCGGACCTTGATTAATACCACTTTCACCTGATCCATTATAGTCATAATCTTGATTTCCAGCAACAGGTCTTATATTATTAGGGTTATTATAACCAACATTGTCATCAAATTGATTTTGTTGATAATTTCGGATATTCTGAGGGTTAGATTTTCGCTGATTAGAAACCAAACCAGGGTTCAATCTATTATTATATTGATTATTGATTTGATGATTCAGTTGGTTGTTATTTGCATAGGCACCATGATTATTATTCAATCCTTGATGGTGAGAAAGTCGATTCTGATGATTTGGTACAACTGGTTGATTGATTGGCTGATTATAATTTGGGTTTAAATTAGCGGGAGTTTCGGTTGATGTTTCTTCTCCATTATTTTTACCAGTACCATCATCATAGTCATAATCGGGTTGAGCTGATGCACCTTCTTCTTCTTGTCTCTTTTTTTCAGCCTCTTTCTTTTGTTGTTCATCCATGGATTTTTGAATATCCTTCAAGTCTTGCTGACTCAAAATACCGGGTGGAAATAAATCACCGGGGAAATTACCTCCTTGGAAATTTTGAAACTGAGCCAAGTCAGGGTCATTAGATGGATCACCTCCTTCGCCACCTTCACCACCTTGACCGCCTCCAGCACCAGTTTCCCCTTCACCTCCTTCACCTCCTTGATCATCTTGAGCGCCTGTTTCTTCGGTATCATTTGCTCCAGTATTATCTGGTTGACCAGATTCATTTTCAGCTCCATTTTCTTCTTGCCCTTCGTCTTCATTCGATGAATTACCATCTACTCCTCCTTGGTCAACACCATCTTCACCTTCTTGTCCATCAGCGTTATCACCCTGAGCACCTAATCCTGTTTCCGGTGCATCAGGCCTACCTAATTGGTTATAAATATTAGGGGTTCCTCTTGCCGCTCCAAATCCATTATTATTTAATCCAGGAGCATTTACCGGTCCATAATTTGGGTTAAGACCAGGATAATTTGGATAGCCAGGATAACCGGTAACTGGTTGACCGAATGGTGTTGGTGTTCCTGTGTATGGCCCTGAAATGAAATGAAATGCAATTTTGTGTAATTAACATCAACAAACATGACTAACAATTAATTGTGGTGATTAGAAGATTAAATGACGTAAAATTGTTGTAACTTCCGTTTGGAATGGGAAACCAAATTACAATTCTCAGTTGAACTTGGTGAAAAAAAAAGATTTTTTTTCATAAACTATTTCACGCTCAGCTTTTCAAGGTTCGGTGATATTAAGAAAAAAAAGAGTAATTTTAGTTTTAAGAAGTATTACATTTAAACAAGTTAAATGATCAAACAACATTCTAATCAAGTGGCAATTTATGATCTGTATTGTATTAGGACTAAAACTGATAAACAAATTAACCTGACTGAACTTTCAATAAAAAATTGAACTTCACTTTGTTTAATGAAAGACAATTAAAATATAAGCAAATTTAAAATGAAATATTCAAGTCCAAACGGCATATGGCAATCATATACAATTAACTAATCTGTTTAGCGAGTAAAAATAGCGAGTAAGTGAAAGCGTTAATCAACCATTTAAGCTGGATAATTTAGTTCATTGAAAACAATTGATATCAAAGATCATATGAGGTTATGTTAACTGATTCAAGCAATAACAACCTTATGATTTGAAAAATATCAACAGAAAGCAAAAAATCATCTTGAAATGTTGGATAAATAATTTTGTAATAGAATCGATTATTAAGTCATTTACCTCCAGGTCCTGGTGTTGGAATGAAACCAGATAAAAGATCCAATGGACTGGTTAACTGTCCTTGTCGGTTATGATTATTAATATTGTTATTGTTGTTTAGTTGATCACGAGCGTTGAATAAACCAGGCCTGTTTAACCCATTATTTGCTGATCCTTGAGACCCAGAAAAGGGTAACCCTTGCGGTATAAAGGCATTGAACGGTAAACCATAGTTTGGATTATAATTTGGTCCTAAAGTAGGCTGAAATCCATTTTGACGACCTAAGATAAGATTATAAAACAATAATAAACATACAAAAATTGAATGAATAATCAATCACCAAAGACAATGAAATTATAAAACGAGTAACGATGCCATCTAATGTCACAATGACAAACCTAATCTTCTGACCAATCACTAATCAAATCCTTTTGAAATTGTTTACATTTTAAAATAACCGTTAATTTGTAAGACTATCAAATTCGTTATTTTTTCTCATTCAATATGATTTTATGGCTCTTATTTATCCAATTTATCAGGTTAATGGGCGCAATAAACAACCAGGGACTCAAATCAAACAAATTGCTAGCTCAATGACTAAAACCAATTGATTTGCGGTAAGTTGACAATAAGATTTTCTAGCAAATTTTACCTCTTCCTCTGATGTACGGACTCTGAGCCTGCTCTTGACCATTAAGAATCTCCCCAGTTTCGTCCGATTTTGTTGATCTATTAACTTTAGTTTCGTTGGTTGATTTAGATGAATTTATTGGTTTTGGCAATGGTGTTGTCGTCGATATGGTATCCAGTAAAATTGAAGATCCGGTTTCTGTTGATGGTTTGGTCGTTGTCAATGTTTTTAAAATAGTTGGTGTAGTTAATGGCTTTTTTGTTGATTTATTTGCAACCACTGAGTTTGGAAATGATGATAAAGAAGTTAAACTAAGAATTAAAAGCAATATTAAATCCATCTTGGTGTCAGACAGATGTGATAATCCTATGGAGATGAAGGTATTCAAGAAAAGTTCACTTTACGGTAAAATTAGGCTCCTTTGCAACAATTTTACATAACATTCCAATTTAATATTTAAACACACTATTGAATGTCATTTATCGATTGAAAATCATAAGAGATGAGCCATTTTGAGTAAAATTGACCAGCACATGAATAAGAAACAAAAGGGTTAAGTTATCACTTTCACTTGTAAAGAAGCGTTTTATTGACAATTTTGAGTCATTTATCTGTCTCAGCAAAACTTCTTATTCAAACTGATTTTATTCATTTTATTGACAAAATATATCAACAATCAACTAGTCTAATCATCAAATGTTATATTAATAATTAGGTAAAGTGTAGCCATTGCATTGGAGAGAGATAGAGAGAGAGAAATAGTTTGAGAGAGAGATTGAATGATAGTGAAAGTGGGAGTGAAAGGTGAAAAAAACTCGAAGTGAAGGCTAACTTAGGTAAATTATTTTGTTGAGCTCGATGAATGAATTGCTCAAGCAAATCGTTACAATTGAAAGTGATAAAGAAACAGTCAATAGTAAAGAAAATGATTAACGAGAAAACAATGAGAGAAAATTTGAGACAAAAAATGTGAAGACGAAGCTTAAGGAAGTTAATTCAATGTGTTTACCCTTTTATTATTACCATCTTTTTAATAGCTTGATTAAAGGTTGATCAAGTTTCAAGTGCGAATGTAAAAAGTGTAAAATTGTTGACCAAAGAAAAAAATTGACGCAAAAAGCTTGAAAAAGTCTTAAATTGAAATATTTTGAAATCATAATAATAGCCCAATATTAATAATTATTTAAAAATCATTGAATTTACCCAATTGACCATTAATTTTATCTCTAATTTTTCAAAGGTTCATTGATTTCAACGGCAACAACGGATCACCTTTATCTTAATTTGATTAACTGAACAACAAAAGGATATTGATGGTCGTTTTTGTTTCTCATTGCTCGATAACAGTCAGCTCAACATTTGGATAAAGATGATTATCATTGCAACGATCACTATCATTATCCGTTTCATGGTGGGAAAAATATTGTGTCCGGATTATTGTAATTTGCTTGTCAATATAATTATCGAGTTGGACAAAATTATGGATTTGTCGGAGAAAATGTTTGTTCAAAAGCCATTCGTAATCAATTGGTTCAAGCCATTTTTTCATTAACTGCTGTTGTTTCTGCTTAATTGTGATTACATCATTGGCTGTATTAAATATCGACTATTGCAGTTGGCAGAAATCAAAATGTGATTGCGATCAACCAGGCACAATGGAACCAGGAGAGACAAATAGTGCAATCCAAACATTAACCATTGAACATTAGCAAACGGATTTGCTATCAACTTCTTGTTAATTGTGGCAACATTTGAGACAATAAAAGGATTGTCATTGAATTAACCGAGATGATGACGTTAGCTGACTGATTCAAAATGTTACCAAAAATGAGTGAAAAAGGCTACATAAAACCCAAAAAGGTTCACCTGCCGATAGGCGACAGATAGAGAGTGAAATATTTATTTTTTTTGGTATCTGTTATTGTTTTATTTATTTGTCTGAAGTTCTCGTGGTTAACAGGATATCCGCTCTTAATCAAGCAATTAGCTTGCTTGATTGATCGAGCGAGATAATTTAAACTGTGTGGTTTTTAATAACAATATTAATAATAATATTTGCATCGAGGGACAAACGCATTATCAAAATTCCCCGAGATGATTGACAAAACAAAATATGAACTCCTTTTTGGGAAAGTTAATAATAATGATATAAGATAGTTATTATAGCTCTAAATCAAGGTTAATTTGTAAACAAATACAATAAGATTTGGTTTTCACACAATTGCTGTCCCTTAAAAGTGTTACGTTGCTATTTTAATTGCTGCATTGCATTTATGAAATGGTTTACCTGTAAACACGCCAATCTTTACTTCATCTACTGATTTACATAATAAAGACAAGATTAATTGACTACAAGACGATGACTTGAACACAATAGCAAGATTGGGTTCTTTAACCAGATTTTGGCTGATCAACCGATCATTTCGTGGCTAAAGAGTAAAGTTACCAACCAAATCCACTGATTTTCATTGAAATACAACCTTAGAAGGCATTTACTTTGAGAACAGATATAAGTTTAACATTCCTATTCTGTTGGTATTCCCAATTTAAAGCAACAATCAGAAGCAATAAGACACAATTGGGTTAGTAATTTGAAAACGTTCAACAATAAAGATGAATATTGAACCAACTTGTAATAATGGATGAAATAAAATTGGTATGATCGATCAAATGGACAATCAGTTTATTACTGGATGCTATTTGCTGTATCAATCGGGTCTGAGAAAACACAATGATATTGATATTATTTATATCGGCCTTTGTGCATTTATAATACATTGGTTGGACAGGTTGAAGTACGCATTAAACCTTGCATTGTAATGAATTTATATTTAACCATATTATATTGAAATATAATTCACTATTAGGAGCGTAATTATTGAGATTCACTTTCATCACTTGTTCAAATTATTTAATGATGATTAAGGTTTACGATTAGAGATTACTTTTAAGAGGGTTGACTGTAAATGTATATAAATGATTGGAACCAGTTTTTCACTTTGCTGTTCACTCAATGAGGCCCTTGTAATTACCACTACTGCAAGGTTAACAATTTGTTGATGTTAATAACAATATTATTTATCATAATTGATACAAAATTTGCTTGCTAATAATATTAATTTTGTTGATTAAATCCACTTTTCAAAATAATTAAAGCAAAAGTAGTAAAAATTATCCAACAAAAGTGAACAACTATTCAAATTGAATTTGATATGTTAAGCCAAATGAAAGCAAAGTCAGCTGAGTTAACTTTTAATACTGAATATATTACCAACTTAATGGGGTAATAAGCAAACCATCAATTACTATTTAATGAAAAATTAACAAATTTTAATTAATAAACTGTTAAATAATTAGTTTGGAGGCAAAAATGATAAAGTAAATACAAATTGAAAATCGCGGCGAAAGAAACGTTTATGACATTGGAGGGAATATCAGCTGATTTTGATGTTTTATGGTAACCCGTTTAATGCAAGGAATAAGTTTTTTCTCAACAAAGTGTGTTTTTATTATTTATTTAACAATGTTAATTTTACATCAACTAGTATCAACTTATTAATTATTTAGTAATCATTATTAAGTCAAGTGAATGTGAATTTTAAGTGATAATTGCAGCGAAGGGAAACATCAGGATTGTTAGCGTTCAAAGACCTTTGCTGTAATCTTTACCCAGTGTATTTCAATTGACCCTTTATACATTAATATACATCTTTTTTTCAGTTACTCACGCATTTGACAAAATTTTTCAGAGAAAGTAAAAAGAGTAAAAAGATGATGATAATGATGGTGATGATGATGATGAAAAAAAACTGGGCAGTGTAAGGAGAAAGGTTGGGAAAAATGGTTTGTAAGTCTGAATGCCATTTTAATGGTTTCTAATTTGATAACAGCAATCTTGCTCTGCTAACCATGAATCTTTTTTTTCTTCATTTCAAGAAATTAATTTACTTATTTTGCATGACAAAATCAAATGATGATGGTGATGAGGATGATAATGACTGTTATTGAGTCTGATTTGAAAGATTGATGAGTTTAAGGTGAAATGGGAAACCAGGTTTTAGACATTTATTTCAATAGTTATTGATTTGTTTGTTTTAAAATACATTTGACTTGGTAGTTATTTTCAAGTGTTTGCAACTACTTGTGATCAATAAACACTGTAGTTTGATGAAAAATTATTTCAATTTAACAGTTGCGCTTGGTTTCCCTGAATATCTGTAAAAACAAAACCAAAAATTGAGAAGTTACAGTTTTGTTCTCATGCTATTCATGTTTTTTATTTGTCGTTTCTGTGCCTCAACTTTTCATTGAGTTTGCATGTTGAACCAGCAGAGATGTAAAGATATGTGAAGACCATGAAATACTGGAAACAATGCAACAATCCTAATCAAGTTATGATAATGATATCAAATATAATTGAGACATTCCTTGGCATTTTTGGCAGTAAATTGATGACAATAATGTAAAGTTGATTTTTAGATGCAATTTTGAGTGATTGGTCGAGGAAGAATAATAATAAGAAGATGGTGATGATGTGGATGGTAATGTTGATGATTATGAAGAGAATGAACAGTTTCAATTCTATTTCTTATTACTTTGTATTTTTTTTTGAGAAAAGTGTAATTTATCAAGAGGGAAAACAGGTAAAATAGATTTACCAAGAGACATGTAGACACATTAGATGATGGGTAGAGGTGAGAAGGTGATGATGGCAATGATACTACACATAACGGTGGTGATTGTGATGAAGATGATGATAATTATAATGATAGTGTTGCATAAAGATGGTGCAAGATACTGTCAAAATAAGACAGATGAAATGATAAGGCCAAGCCAAGATGGAGCAAATTGTAAGTCCAAGTTTCAGGTTTGAATAACAGTTACCTCCATCTAAAGGTATATTTAATACTTTTCTTTCATTACATCTGGTTGATGCAGCTGACATTGATAATGATATTGGCGATGATGTTAGTCCTGATAATGATCCTGAGGATGATCCTGGACGATGATGATAATGAAGTTTTAGATGTTAGGTTTAAATTTAGGGAAGTTTAGCAACTTTCATGGCAAATGAACATTGAACTGCACAGACGTTGTCCTCCAAGATTTGATTGTGTTCATAAGACGCCAGCAAATTGAAACAATTTTTCACCTTCATTGAATGACATATTGGCTGGAAGAAAAATATACAAAAAAGACAAAGAAAACGATTAGTTAAATGATGGATTAATATCAGGTTTTAATGAATAGTTGAATACTAATGGAAATAAGTTGATTAAAAATTGTACTTTCAGGTCAATTAGGGTGATCATAGAGGCGAAACAAAATTAAATGGTGAAGAAGCTAAAAGGTTATTTATTTAGGATCACAATGAAAGTCAAGCATGTTTCTTGGTTCGGTAAAGTGAATCAAGATGATAATAATAAGTGTGTTAGTATATTATTAATCAAGAGATATTATTATTTCACCTTGCGATTTAAGTATGGTTAACAGGGAATGCTTGGCCTCTCTTGCTGCAAAATATACCTTAACTATTTAAGGTACCTTAAAAGACTTCTCAAGACATTGCAATCACTTTTTTTTGGGTACATTTTTTGTCTTTTTGAGAGACACTTTTTCTTGATAATAAAAGCAACCTTTTTCCCTTCTTCCAGAGCTTTCTTCCCTTTGATCATCTCATCTTTTCACATTATTTCAAGTCCTACATTTTGATAATTTCAAAGATTTTTTTCAGTTCAGCATCAATTGTTGCCATTGTTTGTGAGATTCATTTGGCCTCAATTTTGTCTCATCACTTTCCCATCTCAGGGAATTTTTCAATTTCTTTCATCAGTAATATCAACTGTCTATGAAATTGAGGCAAAATGGGCAACTAAAGACATAAAATGACCAAAAAAACTATTGATCAATCTGTATTATTATTTGACAATCAAGGTCTTTCCAGAGACTCACCAAGATAGAGTCAAAATTGGTGAATCTAAAGAAATCTAAAGTTTAGGTCAATATATTTGCATACTAATGAAGATACCAGAATAAACATTATTTTGCTCTAGTTAACAATGAGTGATAAATATGTAACACTCAAGTGAATCTTCACAAGCAAAGGATTGATTCATCAAACCTGACGACAATATGAGATGAAATTTTACCCTAAAAAAGGTAATGTTCAACTGATTAAAAGTCCACTAAGCATGGTTACTTTTTAAGGTCATCTTGTGATGAGACGCAAAATATTACTAATTTTAACTGTAATGTAACAACTATTATTATCATGGTGTTTAACCCAATAGTCGGTAAGTTATACCTTTGGCTTGAGAGGTTTACATTTTTATAATCTTGCATTCAACTTGATCCATACACATCTTATTGTGTCAGCTTCATCATCTGGTAATCATGATTATAAATTTTCACTCTCAATTGAAATAGAAAAAAGAAACCTGAAAATAACTCAATAACAGTATCACTCACAGTAGGGAAACAGATTGAGTACAAAAATCTTGCCTTGCCTTACTTTTTTGGTGCTAAAAAGACGTTTATTAATTGATTTACCTTGGACAGAGTTGAAAGTCAATTGCGATATTACAAATTTAAAATTTGCCAACAATAATTTTGGCCTCAGTTTACAATCAATTTACAGGTCAATCAATCTCAGCCTTGACATGATGCAAAATGGATTCATTTTTGTCAATAATCAGTTAATTGTGACAAGCAATACTCGTTGAATGGTTTAAATATAAATTGTTAATTTATGAGGCAGCTTTTAATGCTTATAGTTTTTGGCTGTTTCATTACGCAAATTGCGTAGGAAATGGGTTTAACTTGGTCAAAGATGACCATTGATATGAGACTCGCCAAAACAAGATGAAAATTAATGGCTCCATGATAGACAAAAAGCATTAATAAAAGCAAATTAAGTTGGTAAGCTAACAAAATAAGGATTAAACTATTGTATTGGTAATCAGTAAATTAACCTTAAATGTTGCATTTAAAGTTTACGAGCTAATATTTTGGACAATAATTGTGGTCAAAAAAGACTCAATGTAACACCTACAACAGTACATTCAACTTTGAGATAATTTACTCAACTACAGAACTTTAAATTTGTATGTTTTTTTATTATGTTTGTGTTTAGAAGGTAAAATGATGGTAAAAATACTAATTTAAGGTACATTTTTACCCACTCTTATCATGAATTTTAATACAAGATAAACTGAATTTGACTCAACTGAGCCACTGACAATTGATCTGTAAAACTCAACAAATCAGGTTGATAATGAAAGTAGTCAGGAGTGTAACCAGCAGTAAACTATTGACTTTTAGTTGTTACCCGAATCATTGTGAATACAATCAACTCATTTGATTGACAATTTAAGGTAAATATATAAATATATGGAATCAAGATGAACTGTTGTTAAATAATGAGAATGAAAAAAAAGGTTGAAAATCAAAGTAAAATGAAAATCTATTAATAAAACAAGGTGAACATTTTGATAACGTCTTTTACCATCTTTACTCATTTCTGAAACTAACCAAGATTGGTACAATTTTTATCATTTATTATAATAATCATAATCTGTTATATGGTCATTATTGTGATTGTTACAGTACAGTTGTTGCTACCTTTATTTGTTGTCATGATTGACATGTTGTCAGAGATGAACATTCAATGATCAATACGTTTGAAGGGTTGATAATAATTGAAAGTGGTAAAGTTAATCAAAGATCAATCTAATGTTACATCTTTTACACGATCACCATTATTGAACATCTATTATATGAAGAAGAAGAAACATTTTTTTCAGCTTCTTTCAACCTTTCACTTTGAATTTCTTTTGATAATCATGTTACTTGGTAAATTGAATTAGATTCAATTTTTAATTTCTCTTCTCTTTCAAGAATTAAGCTCACATTGAATAGTTTAAGTTTCAACTCTGAGGCTTTAACAGGTAAAATGGTTAGAGTTTGAAAAGCATGAAATTTTAACAATTAACTTTTTTATAAATCACAAGCATCAATGTTGTTGTAAAATGTAGAGATGATTGCTAAAGATAATCACAATAGTAATCCACATTTTTAATCTCAATCGTAACCTGAATATTGATCTGAATTGTAATCTCAACATCCTAATATGGCGGATAAAGCAATAACAATGTAATTAGCAATTAGCTTGCAATCACTAATTTTGGTGGAGTAAACATTCAATGATTATACTTTGAAAAAGATCAAATTGTTAACAAAAAGTGAAATAGTGACGCACTTTGTTGACCTATTTGGTGAAATTTCAAGTTTCCTATGAAAGATTAACAGTAAATTAACATATATCGACTTTGTTGACCTGTTTTCTGGCCCTTTTTCCTCTTCTCCTTGACTTTCATTACAACGGCAATTTTGTTTACCTCAGGCTAGAGCTATTTAAGGTCATCACAATGTTTCATCTATTTCAACTCATAGGTACTTTGACCCAAATTTAAGTAAAAGTTGCTTCTAGTTTAAATAAATGTTAACAAATTAAATAAAACTTTCATCTTCAGGTTAGTCTTATGATTTGATAATAACGTTATTGGTTCCGTGTTACTATTAATAGCATTGGTTTAACATTGGTTTAAATGAGAAGAGGATTATATAATAATAACATAGGAATCAAGGGAAGAGCCATTGGCAAGGAAAGTCACGTTAAAGGCAAATGACCTGGCAACCTTGGGTCATTGAATGCCTTGTTCATCTGGGTAAACATATCCATTGACCTAACCTCTTGACCTTCTCTATTTTCCTTACTATCATTGTTATTACAAGGCTGAACAAAATAAAAGGTAAACTTTAAATGGTCTAAACCTTTATTTTGCTCTTGTTTCTCTCATTTTCATGTTTTTTTCAAATAACAAACAGATTAAAACGTAATTATTGTTATTCGGTAGCAATATAATGTTTATTAACAACAATAAACTAAAAAAGTCATTCTCAGTGGAAATGGCCCAAAATTTGTGTCAGTTAAATTTTGAAATAAACGATTTCCATTGAGATAAATTTGTTGGTAATAAAAGCTGAGTTATTTTGAAAGGCTAAGAAGTTACCTGATAACTCTTTATATTGTAATACAATTGAACTCATATTTTAAACAAAATTATAAAAAGTAAGTATGGAAAAGGTAAACTCAAATTAATGGCCCGAGCCAAATCTACTAGCTTAAACGAACAGTCAATGAAACAGTTTATCTTTTGGTTTTCAATCCTTGTAATAAAATATTACCAAATCAGTTTACATTCAACAACTTTTACGCTGGAATCACTCTGAACAATATTAATTTTTACATTGAGTTAAGCATTCTTTACTCTTATGATTGATTCGTTTGCATTTTTGTTTCGTTCGCCTTAATGGGTAGATTTTGAATAACTAGAAGTTTAATTTCGATTGGTATTCACAAAACTATTCGATTGATACTTACACCCTCATTGGTACAAATACACATTGTACAAGGTGATGGCCTCATGGATCGGCCTGTTTTAACCAATTTACCAGCCATTAAACATGAATCTCCTGTATCACGCCATTTAGATGCATCAATAGATGGTAAAGATGAACATGAAACTCTCGGATTCCTGGATAGAAATGAAGAGAAAAATAATTATTTATAACATTTATGATTCGATTAACCAAGTTTAGTCTTTGTTATTTGGAACAGTATTTACAAAAACGAATCTGGAAGATCCATGACGTGACGTTGGATAACATCGATTGAATCTGAATTATCACAGATTACTTTGGCTAAGCTTATTTTACGGATTTCAGTGAGTTGAGCTTCAGTAAAACGTATAAAAGGATTACTGGTTTCATGCCAGAATCGATCACATTGTTTCAGTCTTCTGAATTGAATACCCAAAATACAGCCGAAGGTTGGTCCAACAGATCCACCATGTAATGGAGATTCCGAGATTCCACCAGTAAATAAGTCAATATCATCGACATGCCTGAGGAATAAAAGAAAGAAGTTGTCATTAATCGATTAAATTTAAATTGAGGTTGTATCAACTAACTCATAAATTTTCTTCAGTCTAGCAATCAAGTTGGGCGATATTTCACCAGACAAATCTTCAAATGTCTTTGCTCGAGTCAGGTTACACTTTACTCTGTATTCGTTATACGGTTGAAGACCATGATCACGGGCTCTTTGAATATTCAAGGAAATGAGATCCATTCCTGAAAAGGGAACTTTTTTATTTTCGAACAAATGATTCGTGACTTCTTCTGTAATTGAATTGTCAAGAGTTTCAACACTATTTGTTATGATTCCTCGAAGAATGGCATCAATAGCTCCAGCTGAAATTACGAGATAAATAAAAAAGATTTAGAAATGGATCAAAATTTAGTAAAAATAAAATATTCATTGATTAAGAATGAATACCTGAATAAAGCATATCTGAATTGAAGAAAGAAGATCGAAGTTTGATAGGTCCATCCACAGCTCTGAAAGTTTGACCCAATCGTGCAAAAGAAGGACGTAAAAGAGAATGACCGAAACGGAAAACTGCAGCAGCAAATTCATTGAAAACCACTGGGCGACAATCTTCATCATAATCCTCGTAATAACCTGAAGTTGCTAGAGTGAGTCCGTATCTGTTCATGTAATCAATACCCAAAACACGAGGAAGGAATTCATTGTAAGTTACTCTTTGAAGTAAAGCTCCGACAATTTTACGTCCAGTTTGATAAAGTCGTTCATCATCCCAATGAGGATTGATTTCAGCCAATTCTCCGACAATTTTGTTGTGTTGACGCAGCCAAATGGTGTGCATACAAGCAAGACTTGGTTGTTCTGATGATCGAATGTCTCCAGCTTCGAAACAAAGGCCTGATGGGGCCACACATTCGGGATGGGTTGCGGTTTGTGGAAGAAGATCCTTAAAGCCAGGAATAGGATGACGAGTTACATTCATCCGACCTCCAGTAAAACTTCTTAACATGCGAGCCTCGCAAGGATCTGATCCATAAACATTCGATCCATCGATTAATGGAGTAATTTGATTTATCTGTTCTCTAGCACCAAGACGAGTTTGACCATTAATTGAACGAACAAAATGTAAACATTGTCGTTTGCCAGTAGTTGAGTTTGTAGATGGGAAATAGGGATCATTTTTCGGAATTACAATTGGCCAACATTGAGGATGAACTGTTTTCCGAGAATCACAAGATTTACAGTTTAATATTGTATTACCTGGTCCCATGTACATTGGAGTAAAGGTTAAATCATGATCGAGGAATTGACCAAATTGCATTGTTACTAGTGCATAGCGAGCATGAGGTGAACTGATATCATAGTGCATTGAAGTAGACACTAAACGACCAGAGGGAAGCGTTTTACCAGTAACACTTTTTTTACGTGGCAAAGAAATACCATCTTCATAGCGAGGTGGAAGGAAGCGATCAAATGCTTTCAATGAATTACCCGCAGTTGGGTTTTTCAGATTATTACACCAGCCTGTATAAGTTCGGAAAGCGCTGGTATGATCACAAGGCATTGGTTCTTCAAAACAATCATCAGATCTGAGAGCAGCAATTTGAGCATAAGTTTCTCCAAGTTCACCGAGATCAATTTCAGGCAACATTGTCATGATATTTTCCAAAGCTAATTTTATAGATCGACCAGTTTCTCGATCTTTGTTTCTCTCAAGAAGTGATCTTACTAGATTGTTGGATATTATTTCTAAAACAAGTGATGAATTTCCCATTTCGAGAGCTTGTCTTTTAGGGCGATTGAAACCTAAATGTTCAGCTTGAGGACTACCACGGGATGCTGCTTTGGAAATTGATGATCGTTCTAGTTCTCGTATTGTAGTAATTTGTTTTGCTGCTTTATCAAGAGTATCTTTCATTAAAGATCGAGGAATACGGTCGGGCATGGATTCAGTTTTCCAAGGTTCAAGAGACATTGTAGGGATATTTGAACAATATTGGAATGCATTGAGATAAGCATCCGACAGAACCATAGTGGAAGGTTGCACAAAAGCCATATTATCACCGTTTGCACAGATTAATCTTGCCAAACTGGCCTTTCGGATTTCCTTCAGTTGAGCTTTAGTAAATCCTGAAGGTGGCAAATCATTTTCATACCAGTATCGATCACCTCGTCGAAGAGCATTGAACTGTCTAGCAAGTAAACAAGTAAAAGTTGGTCCAACAACTGCTCCAGGAAGAGGAGACTCGGCTAATCCTCCGGTGAAGAGATCAATATCATTAACATGTCTGTGAACAAAAAGAAGTTAAATTAATGAATAAATCAGTTCATAAAAGTTGCTCCATTTTTACTTACTTATAAACGGTTGATAACTTCTGAACCACTGAAACATTCAAGAAGGTTGTCAAATCATCCCAACTACGTACTTCTGGCTCGATTGCACATTGTCGACGGACTTCGGTGTAACTAGGAATACCATGGTCACGTCCTTGTTGGATAATGATCGCAACTAAATCTAGACCTTCTTTTGGATCTTGACCGATGTTATTAGTTAATTCACGAGACACAAATACATCAGGTTGGTATGCATTTTGAGAAATCAGTCCCATCAAGTATTCGTCAAATTTAGCTACATCATAAAGATCTGATGGATTGAAGTATGTATCTGACATTTTACGAGTTCCAAGCATTGTTAATTTGGAAGAGTATCGTTCCATACGCGATGGTAACATTGAAAAAAGGAAAGGTAAAACTGCAGTAGCTACAGCATTATCCATGCCAGGATTCAAGTCCATATTATAACCAGAATAGAAGCCATCAATTAATGGAGCTAAATCATATTGAGTAACAGCCTCTGATCCAAGAAGAGCAGGGATAAGTTCAGAATAAACTATGTGTTGAAGTTGAGCACTAACAATTGATCTGGTTTCCTGGAATAATTTTTCATCGCTAAAATGAGGATTAAGCAATGCCAATTGACGAGCAATTCTATTGTGTTCTCGTAACCACAAAGTGTGCATTAAAGTTAATCCGACATTTTCATTAACTCGAATATCTCCAGCATAGAAGCATCCTTTACCAGCAACATGGTTCATTGTTCCACGACAATCTTGAACACCATCCATAGCTGGTAAAAGTTCACGTTTAACACCTCCTTTACCTTCAATGAATTGAGATTTAAGTAAGCCATTTTTAAAACTTCGAATGAGACGAGATTCTTCTTCCGAAGAACCATAAATAGCAGAGCCGTCCAAAAAAGATGTGACCTGAAACAATAATTCATTGGAAAAATTATTTGTAAGCAGAAAGTCAAGAATACATATTAAATATTTCAGAGTTGAAGTATAAATTGTCGAAGTTTTCACAGGGCAAAACAAAAGAAGAATAAATTAGAAGCAATAGTTGAAAATAAATTAACAAATAGTTTGAACAATATTATTCCGACTATTAATTATTAATTACAATAAGAGATAAACGTTAATTGCTGTAACTATTCTAACAATTCTAATTGTAATTGTCTGATTTGTTTAAAGCTACCAATATCTACCAAAAGGTGGCACCACAAATCACACTCGGCGCAGAAATTTGATTTAACTATTAATGACTGATTTTGTCAACTTAAATTGAGAATTGATTTGATTCCAGAAACGACTAGAGGCGTGAAATGGATTGAAAACATTTAAAATCAGACTAATATCTACTTAAGGGTTAGAATTTTTTTGCTCCATAAATCATGATTACAGACAGCTATGAAAAGTTGTAAGAGATAAAATTTTTACCTGGTTAACTTGTTCTCTGGGTCCAAGTGAGCAACCAAGACGAATACCAGGACAAGATCGGACGTAATCAATACAAGTTTGTTTCATTTCAATGAAGAGTGGATCATTTTTTTGCACTTTTATCGGTAAACATTCTGGATGGATAAGATCATTTGATTTTAAACCACAACATTTAATACGATGACCACGGTAACCAACCATTTGAGCTGTATGATGTAAATCATGGAAAACAAATTCACTGAAAAAGACCAGAAGAGTTGTTATGTGAGGATGTTCAACTTCTGATCCTTGGTGTACTCTAAGTGAAACATCTCGAGCTGATGGAAGTGCATCTCCGGTGATGGACGCTCTCGGTAATGATATAGAATCAGCATATTGAGCAGGAACATAACGAACATATGTTGTCACTGAGTTTCCCCAATATGGATGTTTAACATTATTACAGTGTCCTGAGAACGATCGATATTTACCAGGATGACATGGTAAAAGAACAGCTTTTCGTGGACATTCAGCATCAAGACGAGTCCCTCTTAAATCAGTTGAAGCTAAACTGGTACTTAAATCACTTCCCGATAGTTTAAGGCTGCATAAAATAAAAACAAGAATAAAAATTGAGAATTAAAAATTGAAAAAATGATATTGATGCATCAAAAACTAATCAACATAATGTAATTATTGTAAATATATGTAATAACAAAAGTAACGTGTAAATTTATATTTAACTGTGATTAAGTACTGTAATTAAATGCATGTTAACGGCACTCAATCACGATTAAAGCTCTATCAATTTACAAGATCAAAAAGACAAAGAGTTGAGTTGAAAAGCAATCCATTTCTTGATGGTAAAGTGTTTCTAGTCCAGAAACAATTTAAAAATGGCTGATGATTACAATGGACAAAGCTAAATTACCTATTAGCAATTATCTTTGAGGTTTCTTCAGCAATTAACGCTGGACGAGAAAAATTTTTGGCAACAATTTTGGTTCGTGAAGCTGCAGCAAGGAACCAACCTTGAGATCCTGGAACTTGAATCGCTCCTAAATGAAAGAAATTAAATGAAATAATTAGAAGGGCAAACCATACAAAACTGAATCACAGATCAACCAGTTTTACTTTACATTGACATCTTTTGGTTCAATATTACTTTTACTTTGATCAATGACCAGTAAAGTAAATTGTTAATTATTTTTGACGAAAGTTAACCCATTAAATCAATCGGATACTTAATGTTATGCAATTCACATGAAATGTCGGAAAACTGAATAATCTTTTCCCATTTTTCAAAGCTTGTCAGTACTCTTACAACTGCTTCATTCATCTTCAAATGTGAATGGTTTCAACTTATCAATGTTCATCTTTGATTGTTCACAAATTACTGGTTAACAAACAATGAGAATCGGAAAGTTATAACCAATTGTTTAGGTAAATTAATGAATGTAATAAGTAAAATATAAACCTACTAAACACAATACAATTGATTATCGATTGAATACTTAAAAGGTTGATATAATAACCAAATGAATAATTCTCACAGCAATCAAAAGATTTAAATGCTAATCCAATCTAATTGAAGTCAACTACTGCTTTTGCTTCAAAATTATTTGTGTGAAAAAAGGTAAAATGGTTAACATGTAATTAACAAATGTACATTGAGATTAATTAGGAAAAGGATAAGCAAAAGGTTTTAATACTTGTAACAATGAAGTAATCAAATTTGATTGCGATTAACAAGTAAGACTAACATACATATAAATTGTACGATCGTTGAATATGATTAGTTGAAAATGAGAATTACAATTCACATGATAAAGATAATAAGAAGGAAAATTTAGACCCAAAATTTGAATCGTGATTAAGATGAGTTAATATGATATGTTGGTGATTATTATGATGATCATCAAGAGGAAGATTCAAGTCTGAATAAGATGTAAAATATTGTTCACAGTGCGGTTGATAATGACTTGATTGGAATCACAAATCAACTAATAATGGTTATAATCATAAAACTCATAACTATAGTTATTGATGATCATCTGGAAAGGTTAAACCAAATCAAATTGCGATCAGATAAATGGTCAAACGAGTTGACAAAATGAGTTAGTGTTGGGAGAAATGTTGGCAACAATTTACTAAACACAAGAAATGTTTACTCTTCGATATCAAATCAACACTTAATTGACCAACTCTTTTCGACGATTTTCCCTCTGACAATATAAGTCAACATTTTATAATCATCTCAACCTCAACCTTATTTGATCTAATCAATGTTGACAATTTGTTTATTGTTGACAATAATAAACAAACACATTTCAATTGAACCATTGATTATACAAGTTTTATCAGTAAATCAAATGTATTCAATGTAACCCTGGAAGTTGACCTACAGAAAATTTTGGAGGTATTTGATAAGACCCACACTGAGTGGTTTACCAGTTGAAATACATTGAAGCTTAATCATAATCGGCAAGGTTAACAACTTGATTTACTGTGAAACTTGGGAGTTGTGATGATTAAAATATATCAACATTGACGCAAAATCGTCTTCAAGGTAGTCAAGTCTATCAATGTTAAAACGATATCATGAAAGGCTCTAATAGCTTTTAAAGTTGCGATTGAGACAATAAGTGATGATCATCAAGAATAATCAGCCAATTTGAAATTTGAGATTCACTTTGGTGTCCATTTCCAGATTGAAAAGCTATTTACTTCAACCTGTTTCCAAAGAGAAATTAATTTATTAATCAATTGCTAATACACAAACGTTTAGAATATTATTGAAATTAGAAAATAAATAAAAGCTTAATTGGTAGATTTGCATTTTAAACCAACAGTAATAGTCAATAATTACCGGTTTAATAAACCAGAATTGCACTTAGATTGATGGTGTAAATGCAAGAAGGAAATTAGTATTATCGGTAAATAATGAACTAACAAGTTGTTTCACAAAGCTAATGGGTAATCATAATATTTGAGACAATCAACGGTTCAAGAATGAATTCATGATGGAACTGGTCAATAAAGATTTAGTGATTTACTGTAAACAAAGGAGAGAATTAAGATGTAGAATGGCTGATTAATCATTTCAACAATTCAATACAACCTGGACGATGAACTAAAAGATTAACTGTTTTGATGAGTTTTTCAGAAAAATTTTCAACTCAAATGACAATCAAGGTAACGTTTAACTGACAATTGTTAGCGTTTGTTTAAAACTATAAAACAAAAAATATGGGCAACAATTTAAATCCAACTACTTTCCTTTCATCGTCTTTTTAGATCATTTAACTGGCTATTTTTAATTGCTTTTAATCATAATTTTACTTGAAAATTGAAACTTAAATTTAACCTTCTTTTAACAATATAATTTTGTCTAATTAATTTACAGTATCAAACAAAAAACAAGTAAAGTCGCTTATTCACAATTTGAATTGCGTCTTTCCTTGTTTATTGTTAATTATAATGTAATTCATCGCATTATTATTAGTGTGTAATGTTAAAATCTTTTCCTGCCATTTTTACCTTTTCTCTGCTTGTATTCGTGATCAATGAGCTGATTAACAATAAGAGAAAACAAATTTCATTAATTTTTCACGAATCCAAATTAAAAGTCGGGATTGATGAGATCAAGCCGCACTTGTCTATTAATAAAATGTTGGTTTATCAATTTAAATCAGCTTTTGTTCAATTCCGTTGATTATTTGCTTTTTTAGTGTTTACTAATTTATACAATCCATCTTGAAACGCCATTTCATAATAGCTAACGAATTATCCACTCGTTTTGTTTACTCAACTTAACTCTACTCGATCCTTTCTGTATACACATGTACTGATCTAAATCGGTTGCGATTTGAAAATCTCGACATCATGCAAACATTGAGTTACCAAGCTTTGAAATAATGTTGGTACTGCCTGTGGTAATGATGATGGATTGATTGTGGCGTTAACTTCCGAATGTAATGTCAATCTGGTTGAATCTGAGTGGACAGAAATTAATTCCCTTTGGATGTTATTTCAGCCATTTGGACACTCACCACTTGAAAGAATACTTGGTTCAAGCTCTTCAATCCGTCTTCTTACAGTATTTTCAGCTTGATTTATAATATCATTTAATCCTAATGCTGGCGAGGGAATTTCCTTTAGCACTGTGTTACGTCTTAAATCACCGCCAATAATTGAGGCTGACAATGATGTACCATCCAGAGGTGGTGAGGAAGCAGAGTAACCCTTAAAAAGCAAATAATAACCATAGTTAATTCATGATTGACTGATGAATAGTTGAAATGAAAACAAAAAGCCAAACCCAGCAACGATAAAAATATACAGTAGTAATGTTGTCATTGAAGCGTCATGATCATGGTTAATTTTTTAATCCACTTCATCAATTTAAGTCAATATGCAAGTAAATTGGCATGTACAAAGTGATGATTGATTAACCATGATAAACCAAGAAACGATTAAATATGGTGTTTTATGAAAAATTTTCATGGGAAATGTTGAATTTCGTACTCTGCTGCAACTCTGTAATAAACCAAAGACTAAGCACCATCATTAAATCATTAATTTATCACGATATAAAATAAAAGCTCAACCCTTGATTTAATAAGACTTGGGTGCATTTTAAATCCACAGGAATGAGCAATGATGATGTAAGCATCGGTTTGGCTTTTTGTTTTGCTAAGGATTAAAGACGACGTAATGCTAAAAGGATAACAAAATAACCAGAATCAAAATAAAACGTGTTCTTACCTTTGAAATGTCAATTAAAGCTGATAAAGCTGCTCCATTAAAATTCCGCCCTTTATGCCTTTGACTTTGAACGGGTAAATTATTAATTAATAGCAATAAAATTAAAAAGATACATGATGATGATTTAACCGCTAGATTGGCAATCTGGTGTAATTTGCTGTGAAAATAGATGATAAAATGGAGGGAAAATAAAGGTGTGAAAAATTAGTTAAAATAGTCTCATGAATTTGCTAAAATCACAGTTTTATTTTTGTTATATTTTGGTTAATTAATATTGTGTTTCTTCAAATGAATCTTTAATTAATTCAACTTTGATATAATTCTAATTAATATTTTCTTTGGTGATTTGATTATAAAGTGTCAGTTTTAGTTGAAATGGACACCGGAATAAGTGTATCAACCAGACTAAAGGAAAAATTGAGAGAACTCTCAAGGTCAACCTCAGGTCAGTAAAGGTTCTTCATATTAGAGGTTTTTGTTAAACTGGAACTAAGTAAAAGGGTCTTCTCTCTTTTGGTATATTGTTTAACTCTTCAAAAAAATTTTATTAATAAAAGATAATCTCACTTAAGAAGAAAATTCTGAAAAGAATCATTCAATAAAAGCATAAAGCTTCATATGACTAAAAAAACTGGACAACACCCGTAAGAAAATAGAAATTAATCTAAGAAATTAAGAAGAAAGAAATTATCTACTGAGAAAAGATGACAACAGAGTTTATAAATTTATCTGTGGATGGAATGAAACATGTAATAACTGAATGTGAGTTGGTGAGTGAGATGAGAAAAGATTATCTTTCAGAGGATGGTATACTTCAGGTGTCAAAGGAAGAAAAAGACTGGAATATTGCACAATGGATGGAAAACCATGGAAAATATTCATGGAATGGATGAAACTGGTATCTGGAAGAATTGAACAAGAGGACAAAACTCAAGGAATCAAACCAATCTGGATGAATAAAGCAATCAAAATTCTGGAATCAATTGTAAACCTTAGAGATAATATTATGAGATATCATATGTAACTGAATAATCTTTTGAAACCATAACACAAAATTAATACTGTAAAAAATTAATCCCAAAAAGCTAAATGTGACTAAACCAGGGGGCAGTACAGATTATCAATCTGTAAAACTGTTCAGTCAATCTATGGCTTGCTTGTATTTACTTTATACATTCAAATAAATAATAATTAACCAACAAGGATAAATTAACTAACAGTCTGGTTATTGTGATTCTCACATTTAATTGTTAATCTCTCATCATGTATTTACAAATCTTTCATCAAGCTCATTATACATCAGCTGATTATCTAATGCTCATCATATTTGTGTTTTCACTCTTTTTTTTGTTCGGTTCCTTCCTCATCTAACTCATCATCTATCACCAGCTTTTCCTTATAATTTTTGACCTCAATATAACCTGACATGACTTTGGTACCTATCATAACAATAAAAAGGTTGATGAATGTTGAGTTAACAATTATCCTCTGATTGTTTTGGTCAAACAAGCTACAAAAGCTCAAAAAATGGATAAAAAAGGTTTGTAATTTTCCTTTTTTTTCAACCTCAACTCTAATTATTATTAATATTTTGTGCAAAGTTGAATTGAATTTGGTAAACGGTAAGATCATTTTGCGGGTCTATTTTGTATCCAAAATAAACAATTCATGTTTGATTTTTTTTTATTTTTGATCAAAATTGTGTTTGCAATATTTTGAAACATTTTATCAATAACTATTGTCAATGATGAAAGGAAAAATGATATAAAAATAATCACCAAAAATGTGTTTATATTTAGAGATAAATGTTGAAAATGAATATCAAAATGAAAAAAAAGTAGCAACAACTTAATACTATTGAAAGGTTACAAAAGCAATTGCAACAGTGGCATCATTGGCATTCATTTTTCACCATTTAATACCGAACTTCTGTTTGAACTGTTGCCGATGCGATCAATTGATCAAATCAAATTGATTCAATTGTGTGTATTGATGAGTTTGTTTGGCTGGTAAAACTGTTGAAAACAGTGTTAATGATGGTAGACTGGTGATGATGATGAGATTGATAAAAATACATTGAAAAGAACCCAAAAACCAGAAAAATTTTAATCGTTCCAAGAGTTTCATTGATTAAGTTAGGTTAATGGTTGCTATTAAAACTCCGTTTATAACCAATTTCAACACACGATTGCAACAAATTTCATTGATTTCTCATGTTATACCAATGTCTATTGAATACAAGCTTTCCAGTTCAATTCAGGCAAAGTCTATCAAGTACAAGCGCGTTGCTTGATTCAATTGTTTTATCAAATGTAAAGTTCAATTTAATTTTCACTTTTTCATCTTTTTCAGGTCAGCATCAATTTACCTGTGTTATACTTTTCAAGTGAAGACGATTGTAACAATATTGATGGTGATGTTGCTCAATTACTGATATTGGATGTTACCGGAGTCAGCAAACTTATCTAACAATCTGGAGACATTGATTGAGTTCAACAAATGAGCAAATCTATTAGAGGAAGATGAAGAGACTTGGCCTGACCTCGTTCAACATACGAAATTGATATTAACTTGGAATCAAATTTAATCATTTAATCACACAAAACATCATTTCACAATGAAACATTACAATCTGCCGCTAATAATTCACCTCTTCGGAACAAAGTTAAACAACAGCTTATAATGTATAATGAGATGGAACCAGCGAGTGTTTTGATAGACACTTTCAATTTCAATCGTTTACATTAAATCATAAAATTGTAATCATCCTAATCAAATTATCAAACATAAAAAATCAAACAAAACATCATAATTGATTCAACTGACAATCTGATTAGAATGAATAAATAATTGTTAAATAATTGGTAAATAGCAATGTAAAAGTAGCAAGTTTACTGTTTAACTTGTTGCTTCCAGAAATGAACAGTTTATTGTAAGTGTTTACTCACACAAGGTTGACAATAATTTACCAATTATTAGTGATTAATTGTCTTGTTATATAATTATTTAGAGTTGTTGATATGTCGCTTAACTGCAATATAACATTCATCTTCCTGTCGGAAGGTAATCTCGAGAATCCTCAAGATATTTGGTCAGTTTTACAACTCTAAATGATTACAATATAACAATATAACATTCCCGATGACCATTTGTTTTATATCTTCAACCAGTAACACCAGTTGAACAAAAAAGTGCAAAAAGATTGCCCATTTAGATTTAATTTAACCATCTACAATTAACTATTCAGCTCCATTACAAGCGTTGTTTTGTGTGTATTAAACACGCTCTGTACGTGTAGTTAATATTAATCTAATATCATTTCATTTACATCAACAATTTTAATCAGCCTTCTTTTTGTTCAACTGGTAAAGTCAATTTCAATTACAACAACATCATCAACAGTAACAATTAAGGCCTAACTCACGATTAGGCTTTTACAATGTTCACAATTAATTGACCTGGTTTCCTTTGTCAACCTTTACCAGTTGACCATTTGTCTTTTCACTTTCCATTATATCCATGATACCATTCAACCATCCAAGCCCTAATTTTTCAATTTTAATACATATTTTGTCTATTCAATGATTGACCATTTCCGAGTCAATTGTCATCAAGCGTGAAAATATTCAGCAAATTAAGTTAAATAATCAACTAACAATTGATAATTGTAAGCTCTTCATTAGATTGTGAAAAAAGGTGAAACAAAATTTCGGGTGTAACCAGAAACTTGATTATTGTAAAAATTTGAACTCATCTGAAAGTCTCGAAACCAAATCATTGATTAGCTTAAATTTTTCAACTGACATATCAAACTACTTCTTTAACCTGTTAATCTCCTGTTAAATAGTCTGATATTTGTCTGAGATTAATGGAAACCTGATTACATGATGAGTTCAATTTATCCCAAAGTAAATTCATAATCAAACTGGTCAACCTTGAAAGTGAATCAATGTTACTTTAGATTGACCAGAAATTAAGATTAAACATTGAGCCTCATAGAAGGTAAATTTAGCTAATGAAAAGGTTCTAATCAAACATTTGTATCATTTTCAGACCAGCTTGGGAATCAATTATTGTTGAACAATTGAACAAATCACTCAAAATGATCAACTTTTAAGCTTTATCATTCACCAAGTTATCATCTCTATTTTCATCGCCCTGGTTTCCCATATACCATTGAGCTGTACATTGATAAATTGGTAAACAATTAATTTTGATCATTTCTCAATCTTTGACAGTTGAAATTTTCTCACTGTAAACATATTGTCATGATTTGCACCATAATTGTGATCAAAATGATCTGATTTTAGACTTGATATTTGAAGTAAACCCAAAAGATGATGAACCATCAATTTTCATTGTTGACCAAAGAAACGCTTTTCATTATTATTATTAAAAAAAAGGTGAACAGCTATTATTACAGTTTCTTTGCCTTCTTTAACAATCTTATTCTAATAATGGGAAAGTTAATTGTGGTCAAACACAATCACCGATTCACCTTAATTGTACGCTTTTCCATCACCAATCTATCAACACAATTACAACAAAATAGCAAGCCCCGAAAAAAAGGTGAAAAGTTAATATCTTAATCTGAACCTTTCTTTTTAACACATCAATCTCATTCTGGTTAAAACATGATTTGAAAGCTTAATCCAAGTCTTAATTAAACTCTCATTAGTTACAGATTAGCTTTTTGTTGGATTATTGAAAGAGTAACAAAATATTGAAAGTCTTGAAAAGATTGAATCCCAATCCGTTTCACAGTCAACTGAATATCATTTGTTGGTAAACAAGGTTTCATTATTAATTAACTGTAAACGATTCTTTGTCAATAATAAACAAGGACAATAGAGTTTACAAAATGATGACAATTAAAGATGTAAAAGGCTGTAATAAAAATCAATGTCAACAATTGTTTACAATTAAATACAATTTTCACGTTGAAAAAGCAACTTTTATTTTCTTGTCATCCAAAAATCAATGTTAACAGGCAACACATCATCATAACAACAACATTAAAACACACACAAAATCAACAATCTTTTCCAACTAATCAACTCTTCTTCAACAATTGTTTATTCTTACCTAAATGGTTGGTGATTTTGTTGATAAAATATCATTGTTATTAGTAATGATCAACAATCAGTTCAACATTAAAATGCTTTATAACCATGAAAGTATAAACCTTAAACTGTAAAACAGCGTTAAGATGAAAATTTTGTTTCACTAAAAAACATGTAAACTCATCTCACAATTAGCTAACCAAAGCGAGATCATCTAATAGTGATAATTAGGAGAATCGGGAAAAACTCAATTAACACTGAATTAACATTGACAAAGGCAACATTGGATCAACATTGGAAACACTAAACGTTCATTTGCGTAATTATTCCCATTCCTTAAGTGAATTATCATAATAATTTTCATGGCAACACTCACGCAGCAATCTGATTTGGGAAATTGTTGTTCATTAAAAAATCTTATATTTTTGTTTTAAGGTCACAACCAAATTTAGTTAAACACTCATTTGACAATAGCAATTAACCGGCTTTTAATTACAAGCTCAAGAGATCAATTGGATTGTTGATTAAATTGATTGTAAAATTGATTATTAAAGAAGAGAGAAAACAAAATTAATGAAATTATTTCAATTTGTTGAGAGTGACAATTTCAAGAATAGGTTGAACCAGATTCAGGTTAAGACATTGAATGATTTGGGTTTGTTTGAGGAAATACAAATCTGAATAAGTAAAGCTGTCCAAACTGAGCAATTTATTCATGATTGATTCAAATTAATGGTAAATTAGTAAGCATCTCTTGACCACAATTAGCGGAAGATAATTGTTGAAAGGTCAAACCATTCATTACCCAAACAGTTAACTGTCAACCCTTAATTCAATGTCAATGGTTTTCCAATGCACAGCTTGTCTATCCAAATATCAATTGTAAATAAACTTGTAAACAATCACAACAGTTTCTGTTAATTACTTGAAGCTCTTATTTACTCACTTTAAGGTTAATCAAACAATATTGTTAACAATTGGCTGATTAAATCGAGAATCGTAAAAAAAGATTTGCTTTCGATAAAAAAAAGACGAACTTGAAACCAGAACCAGAAATGGTTAAAAGGTGAAATTAAACTTACCCTTGAAAACATTGATTGCGAGATGATGATTTAAAAATGTAATCCATATTTGTTGATTAATGACTTGAAAAGGATGAAATGAAAGTTGAATTAAGCGGAAAAAACGAGATAAAATTCAGTAAAATTCAGTGAAAAATCGCATTGGAACAATTTTCGAAAGTTGAATTTTCCATTTTCACTTTGATTAAAACGTTGACCAAAAGTTGATTAAACTTAACAATAAAGATGAAACATTATGTTGAAAAATTTAAACATGAAAAGTGGAAACGAAAAGCCGATAAACAGACGAATAACGTTCAGGTAAAGAATGAAGTGTTTGGAAGAAGAAAAATTTCGACTCTCATTTTTCTCTCTCTCTTATCATCATTATCTTCTCTTTCTCTTCTCTCATCTTCGTTATTGCACTTCGAGCGAAATCACTTTTTCTTTCTAGGGTCGGAATGATGATCATGATGAAGATGATAAGAGATTAAAGGTTGGCTTGTGGGAGGGCTTTCGATGGGAAGATCAGGATATTCCTGTTTTCAGTTCATATCTACCTTCACAATTCATGGACATGAAAATCATCTTCATTCATTGACTCACCTTGCTTCTTTAGGTTAGTAAGGCCAAAATGATGTTTATCGTTTTGTTTAAACCAAAAAGACAACAACATTTCACTTTCTTCTTCTTCTTCTTCTTCTGAGCTTCTTCCTTTTCTTGCGCTTCTTCTTCTTATCCTCATTGTCCTTTCTTTTCGTACTTTCTTCTCTTTCTACAGTCACCCTAATCATCTTCATCATCATCCTCATCATGTTAATCATTTTCTCAATCTTCACCTTATTCTTCCTCTTGTTTCTCTTCTTCGTCTCGAATAACAACTTTCCTTTCTGTCCTTGACGGACTTTTGCTGTAGCTTTCATTTTCATTTCAACTGTTACCTTAGGCAAAGTTACAGCTTTAGTACGTTAACCATATTTCAATGTGCGTTTCATGCAACCATTTCAATTAAATCATCGACATTCAGTTATTACACATGTTTGTTTCCATGAGATTCTTTATTTCTCATAACTTCTAATTTTTACATCACATGGATAATTTGGGTATTTCAATGTTAACTGTACAAGTTTCCCAATCGTGATCTTTCTTGTTTCTTTATCAAATAAATAAAGTCTACTTTTTGCCACAACATCCTTTAGATTTTTTTATTATCAATTTATCGCATTGCGACAGTGGTATTAACAGTTTGTCACTCTTATTAGTATTGTGGATTGATTAGACATTAAAATTTCTTGTAACATTCAATGAGATTTGGATTTTTTCAATGAAATAAAAATACTGGTTAACGGTCCAATGAAAAATAAATGGAATAAAAATCCACCGATTAAACAGCAAACAATTTGCATGGTTACATGGTAAATCTGTTGAAAAGGAAAAGAGAATGAAATTAACTATTTAAATTACTCAAATGCAAAGTCATAATTACAAGTTCACTTTGTGTCAAAATTGGATTCTTTAAAGAGCTTGTGAACATGATCAATATTGGCAGGTGAATGCAGTAACTGGAACGCAAAATGGCAGAGACAATGTGATAAAATTTCACTCTTCCAGGGCTGATTGAGGTATCTTCAATATTCCCCTTGTTATTGCTGTTATCATTATTGTTACTCTCCTCTATTCCAACCTTTCCGACTTTATTTGAACAGTATCTTTTTGTTTCCTCGCCATGGAGAAACATAACGAAGGAATAAAATATGATAATCAAAATGCGATGTAACACGCTATAAATGGCATCATTTAATCGAGTGTTGTTAAAGTTGGTCACAAGCATGTAGAGCAGACGATTGATTGTCAGGAAAATGCCAAAAATAGTAAGATTTCGAGAAATGATTCCTAGACGATGAACCTTCAAAGGAAAGATATCGATTCAAAACAGAGAAAAAATTACACTTGTTCGTATTAATAGAAAAATTTTTCATGATATTACCATCTTTAAATATAACTTACTTTGTTTATTATATAATGATGAGAATTCATTATCAGATAGATGCACAAGGTTGTCAACAGGTAAATCCAAAGATGCCTTGAAGCTGTCATGTTGACGTTGACAACATATCTTAGTGTTTCACTAATAAATAGATGAAATAACAGTTAGAGGATCAATATGAACAGTTCAATATCAATCTATGGTTTCATCTTACTCAAAATTATCGGCACCTCGACTACCAATTTGAAATGGATATTGGTTGTGGTAAGTATGCACAGCGACTAAAAGTAAGGCAGCAACCAATGAAATGATGTTCAGGGATAAAGCAGCTTTTGGATGGCGTTTATAAAGGTAGATGAGCGTTACAACTAGGATTAAGTAGTGACATTCAACGCAGACTGACCAATAATGTATAACACACTGGAAAATAAAATATAATGAAATGAAAATTTACAATTATTCATAAGCTGCTTCATCGCCTTACCGCATCATATGGGTCGTCAATCCAATGTGCCTGTGCAAAGATGACTTTGAAGAAAGACTTTTCGCAGGCATTTGCTGAGCTTTTAATTATACCAGAGGGTCCAGAAGTGAACAACGGCAACACTATCTGAACAAACATTGTACTTGTCATCAAAATTGATAATCTGGTAGTTTTAAAAATTATATTTCATTATTTAGCCAATGAATGATTAAACGACTGTTAAAAGTAAAACATACGCAATGAATTTGAACAAAATATTGACGAGTAACCGAATGAATGATGTTTCTGGTCCAACATTTTTCCATAGATCCGCAGAACGAGCGAATCCTCTATTAGATGATGTTTCAAGATGTATTAGAACTGTGTTTGTTTCAATGTAAAATGGTGAAAATTTACCCATAAACAAATAATCCTTCATTGATCCATTCACCGTTTACGTATATTGGTATTTTAGTGTCTTTATAATGTGTAACTCCGCTAGAAACGGCTGCCGTTCCCGATGGTGTCGATGGTAAGAAAAGTTAGAGTAAGTGTTTGCATAAGTAACATCAATGTTTAAATTAAATTAAAGTATTACCTATGAAAGGGAAAGCTTTGATGAAACTTGGCCATATTAATGTATGTAATATCAAAACTATTGAGTGCAATAAAATAGCAAATTTAATGAGAGACAACATGCGATCCGAAGACATGTTTGGCTGGACAATTTGACGATAACTTGAGTAGATTGAGAAGTGTTTATACCAGGCTAATTTTCTTGGCGATTCGGATTCATTTCGTTTCAATTTTCTATCCAAATATGTTGAGTATAACACAGTGAAAATAAGAAAAGCCAAGATTGATCTGAAAGATGAAAATGAAAGGTAAATTGATCATAATCATGGAATAAATGTTCATTGGATAACAACTTACAGACAAATCTTTTGAAGTGTTGAGGCTTGGACCAACCTCTCGATGAAATGTGTTTTAACTTCACAATTTCTGATAGCAACTAGATCCCATGAATATGCTTTCAAAGCTAGTTTTAACGAAAATTTGGTATAAAATGATGTAAATAAATGGTTAACACAATCATTCTCGTTTGAATCGAACTTTCGTATTAACAAAACGAAACCACGAAACCATTCGAAAGAGTAAAACCAGTTTTCATAACCGCGTTAAAAAACTGAGTTCAAATGACCAAAACTCACTTTTAAAACAGAAACTCTCGAGTTTAAAATTTATTTATTCAGAGAGTTTTGGTCATTTGAACGCTGGTTGTTGTTATGAAAACTCTGTGTCTTCAGGAAAGTCGATTTTACTCTTCTAAATGCTGGTTTTGGTCAAACGAGAATGATTGTGTAGAGATTCAGACTTTTTGTACGTCTTTATTGCATCCTTAATATTTTATGTAATTTTACCTTCTGTTAGTACGATAGTTAGATCATCATTTGAACAAGTTGATGGAATACAAAAACCAATTTGAATATCCAAAGCATGTCTCTCGTCAATCAACTTATCTTGAGTGTAAATTTTTGTATGTGCGGATTGTTCATTATTTGGTAATAAAGAGGTTAAACAATATTTGGACGCTTCTTTCAGTCCACTCGGTCCAATCCAATCAAGGTTTAAACATTGCTCATAATTACCAGGATCAATGTAACCCAATCCTGTGAAATCAGCTGGGACACGTCCTGAAGCTTCAAATACTGACATTCAAATATTAAAATTTGTCAGGTTACTTTATTTGTAAAAGCTGATTAATTCGCTGAATGTCCAAACATTTACATTACTTACATTTAAATGGCCAATCATTTCCTTGTTCACTCGATTCAACAGCATGATATAAACTAGATTTGCATGGAGAAGAAACATTTTGATGTTTAAAATCACTGGATTCAATGTAAGTCCACACAATGTTTGAAAATCCAGTTTGTATGAGAAAAGATTGTTTAGCGAAAAAATCAGATGGTGACACATGTGAATAAACTATGTTACTGTTGATCAATAATAAAATTATATTAAGATATTTTATGAATAACATTCTGAACTTATGTAGATCATCAAAATACAAGTTATATAATGTAAATTGACTCGTCTATCAACAACACAATTAAGTAACTAATGCGAAATTTATTGATAGAGAAGTTTAACTTCAGAGAAAGTAGTAATTAGAAAGCAGCATTTTCAAGGTAATCAGCCATTTCAATTCATTGCATCAAAATACTTTTCAACTAGCTAGATATTAATAGTTGCGCTAAAGGCGATCTTGATTTCTCAAGAAATTACAAAAAAAACAAGAAATCAGTCGAATCAGACTGAGAAATGTCATGCTAACATTGATTTGTTTATACAATTGCGTATTTTTAAAGGGTGTTCAATATTATTAATTTCAAACTGGCCTATCCAGCAGTATTAATTTGATCAGACTCTTTGTGTTCGATAAACGTGTTCGGTATTTGTCTTCACAATGTTACGTCTTAAATCACCGCCAATAATTGAGGCTGACAATGATGTACCATCCAAAGGTGGTGAGGAAGCAGAGTAACCCTTAAAAAGCAAATAATAGCCATAGTTAATTCATGATTGACTGATGAATGGTTGAAATGAAAACAAAAAGCCAAACCCAGCAACGATAAAAATATTGTCAGACCCTGGATTTTGATTACTAAATTTATTATCAGACTAAAGAATTAGAAATAAAATGAATGTCAGACCCTGGATTTTGATTACTAAATTTATTATCAGACTAAAGAATTAGAAATAAAATGTGCGTCAGACCCGGGATTTCTTGGAATAAATAAAATAAAGAAATAAACTATGATGAATTTTATATAAAGTTAAGGTCCTGAGAAACTAATTTTCGAAGAATAGAGATTTGCATGAGAATAAATAAGACTTATTTTATGATTTAAGATTTACCAGAGAACCTTAAATGTTTCGAAGAAATGCTACCCTAACTCGTAAATTATTGAGAATTAACTAATAAATAAGACATTTGCATACTGACTAAAGCCTAAAACTAGGTTTAAGGGTCCGTCAGACCCTACTTTCCCAGATAATAAATTGCTAAAGCATAACTATTAAGCAGAGAAAAAGGTCAAACGACCATCTGGTGATTTAAGGTCACGAACTCTGCTCTCCCAAACGGGACTATATAAAGAATAGGTAAAATTTGATCATTTATCCTTAAGTTCAGTTTTGGATCCAGAAGTCAAGTTTTTGATCTTCAAGTTTAAGTACTTTGATTTGTGGTAAATTCATCTTGAAGTATTTGTTTTGCTTGGTGTTCAGTAAAAGATTTTGATACCTTTATTTTGTATACTTCACAGTATTTTTATATAACTATGAAAGTAAATAAAGCATGTCAACTAAGTTTTGTTCTTGAAAATTTCTACCTTTACTTATTCATCATATTAAACGGTCGTCAGACCCATCACTCTCATCCTCATTGTCATACTACACATGGAACCCGGCTCGGTGACAAAATGGAGGTTCCACCGAGAGTTTTGTGAAAGTGCTCACCAATTAACAATAACTTTATCATCTCTTGTGATTAAATTGAACAATTATTAACTATAATCAACATAAACTTTCATCCAACCTTTGTGTTTAAATCATCACTCAACAATAACAATTTGTGTATTTTAACTTTGAATCATCAGTGGCTTTATCCTTGGTCTGACGTGACATTTCTACTCAATTCCAATTGATCAACTTATTTTATTAACAAAAATTGTTCCATATTCCCGATATTTGTCAATCATCTTTGGTCTGACGGGACTTCCAATCCATCTTCATCCACTTTATCAACCTAATTATTCATTTATTTGGAATTATCTTCGGTCTGACGGGACTTTCCATCAACCTTCCTTCACTTCTTACCCATTTTATTTACTCATCTTCGACAAACTAAAGGTCTGACGTATCCTAAACTTATTTTCTACTTTCTTTTCTCCTCAATTCTTGATGCCATTATCCCTTATACTTTATTCTTTCTTTGTGTTAAGGTGTTTAATACAAGTTACTGGTATCCCAACTGCTGTTTGGACTAATTTATTAGTGGTCGCTGACGATTTTACTTATCCCTTACTGCTGGGAAATAACTTTAATAAAGCTGCTGGTGTTGTATTGGATTTACGTACTATGAAGGTACAGGCTCAGACCGGACCAACGGAACAATTGGCTAAGTCTAACCATTTTGATTTTACTATTAACTCTGATTGTGCTAGGTATTCCTTAAATTTAGGATACCAATTTGAAACAAATGATGGTCTTATACCATTAGATTTAAACATTGTCGAAACACCAAGCAACCTTAGATGTTTAGGTCTGACAGTTGTAAACGAGGTTGATATTCCCTCGCCTAATGATCAAATTTTATCTTTTCAAATATCCATTGATGTACTTTCTACTCAAAATAATAACAATTCCCTTTCCCAATGCGAAGCAGACAATAGGTCTGACGAGTTAAAAAGTGAAAATTCAGACTTGAGAGAAATGGCTAAGCAAGAAAATTTAGATACTCTAAAGTTAGACCATCTTGACCCTTCTCAACAAAAACAAGTCAAACAACTTTTGAATGAGTTTCTGCCAGCTCTAGCTTTTGGGAAAGAGAACCTGGGTCAATGCACTTTGTTTCCTCATATTATTGACACGGGTGATCATCCACCAATAAAAAGTAATCCTTATCCAAGGTCAGAGGCTGAAAGGAAAGAAATCAATAGACAGATTGGGGAAATGATTGAGCAAGGAGTCGTCAGACCCTCTTTTTCGCCTTGGGCTAGTCCCATTGTATTAGTTTCCAAACCTGATGGTAGTAAACGTATGTGTGTAGACCTCCGGAAGGTCAATGCTATTACTAAAAAGGATGTCTATCCCTTACCAAATATTGATATCATTTTGTCATCGCTAAGAGGAAGTTCTTATTTTACTGCTCTTGATTTAAATTCAGGATATTGGCAATTAATGGTACATCCAGATGATTGTCAAAAGACTGCTTTTATAACTCAGGATGGTTTATATGAATTCATTCGTATGCCATTCGGTCTGACGGGCGCTCCTTCAACTTTTCAGCGCACTATGGATGTAGTTCTAGCTGGTTTAAAGTATAATCAATGTTTAGTTTATTTAGATGATGTAGTTATTTTCGCTCCTTCCTTTGAGGAATTATTAAAAAGAAGCAGAAATGTATTGAATGCATTGAAAGAAGCCGGTCTGACGATAAAAGTTACTAAATGTAAATGGGCAGTAAGGGAAATGCTATTCCTCGGACACATAATAAATGAATCAGGAATAAAAACTGACCCAGAAAAGATCAGGGATGTTAAAAATTTCGAAGCTCCTCGCGATGTTACTGGTATTAGAAGTTTTATTGGTATGGCTGGCTATTATCGAAAATTTATCCCAAAATTTTCTGAGATTGCTGCACCACTGACTAAATTAACTAGAAAAGATGTCCCTTTTATTTGGAGTGAAGAACAAGAGAAAGCTTTTCATGAGATCAAAGCTAAATTGCTGTCAGACCCAGTCTTAGTACATTTTGATCCAAAAATACCAATTGAGGTGCATTGTGATGCTTCTGGGATTGGTGTTGGAGGTGTTTTAGTTCACAAAACAGATAAAGAAGAAAGACCAGTCTGGTATATTAGTAGATTATTAAAGGATGCAGAATTAAGATACTCTACAACTGAAAAAGAATGTTTAGCCATTGTCTTTACATTAGCTAAATTACATCACTTTATATCAGGCTTACATTTCACTATTTATACGGACCATCGCGCCCTCTGTTGGTTAAAAACTAAAAAGAAATTACCTGACCGCTTACTTCGATGGGCTATTCAGTTAGAACAATACTCTTTTGATATTAAATATCGAACAGGAAAATCGAACCTTGTTGCCGATTATCTCTCTAGATATCCAACTCGATCAATAGGAGATTTTACTGAGCCCTTAGATGCTTACCAAATCAATGTTCTCACACCGTCAGACCATGTTATTAAAATGAAACAACGAAAAGATCCAATGTTGAATAAGACTATTAGAGTTTTAAATAATCCCGAAGAATTTCCTGAAGTTTCTTGTTCTGGTTTTGTTTTGGTTGATGACTTATTATATAAATTAGTCGAGAAAGAATCCGGACCTGGATTAGTTATTTGTATTCCCACCAATATGGTTGAAGAAATTATCTCTTCTTGTCATGATGATCCAATTTCAGGTCATTTAGGTTTTGATAAAACATATAATAAAATTAAAACTAGATATTTCTGGACTACTATTCGGTCTGACACTAAAAGATACATTGAAACTTGTCGAACTTGTCAAGGAAAAAAAGCTGAAAATAAAATGGCAGCTGGTTTATTATGTCCTATTAAAACCGGAGGACCGTTTGAAATGGTCGGTATGGATTTACTAGGACCTTTTCCCTCGTCAGACCGAGGAAATCGTAACATTATTGTAGCTACTGACTATTTAACAAGGTGGGCAGAATGTCGAGCCTTACCAAATGGTTCTTCTCAAGAAGTAGCTAGCTTCTTTGCTGAATCAATTGTGTGTCGATACGGAGCTCCAAAAACAATTCTTACTGATAGGGGAAAATGTTTTGAAAGTAGATTTATCGAAATGATCTATGAGATTTTTGCCTCCAAACATACACGAACAACTGCCTATCATCCTGCTACCAACGGTCTGACGGAGCGTTTTAATAAGACTCTAGCCACTATGCTTTCAATGTTTGTTAATAATAAACATTCAGACTGGGACCTTTATATCCCTTTTGTTTGTTTTGCTTATAATACATCTATTCAAGCTTCAACCAAGTTTTCCCCTTTCTTTTTACTACACGGTTATGAAGCGAGATTACCTGCAGAGGTAACCAATATCTCAATGGGTTGTGATGATGCTGAAGATTATGCACAGATGTTGGAAAGTATGTTATTAGAAAAACGTAAATTAGCTGCTCAGAACATTGAACAAAGTCAGACCGCAGATAAAATACGGTATGATGCTAAACATCGACCCACTGTTTATCAACCTGGAGATAAGGTTATGGTTTATACTCCAAGAAGAAAAGCAGGAAGATCAGAGAAATTATTACATTTCTTTTATGGTCCTTATGTTGTAAT